GCGAAACCTGTACACTTTTAAATATTTTATACAGCTGAACCATGGGGGTATTACCAAATGGGCCTACCAGGCCCTGGCCTGGAGGGGCCCCAAGTGTCCAGGGGGCCCCCGGCCTTCATCTGCAAAATGTCACCCAAATAAACACAAACCAACCAGGAAGAGACACAAAAAAGATACAAAATTACCTCAGTAAAACACAAAACCACAAAAGGCTGCATTAAGACTACAACATACATATCTGAGCTCACTGTCTTATTATCCACCCATGTATGCAAAGGAACCTATTTTATATAATGAAGCTAAGAAATAAAGTTGATGATGCAGACTCTCCTGTAACAGTGTGACATACATTTATTTCATTCCAACATATTTTAAAATGGGCAATTAAGTGCTAGTGTCACAGCTTTTGTGAAGGATACCCATGCATGTCGCTGCAATACATTAATTACTGAAGTATTTTTGGACACTGTCCTGGTGAGAGAAACCACTCAGTTGTCATCTCATTAAGCCCCATGTTTCAGCAGCCAACAACAAAAAAACAAAGTGAGTTAAACTTGAAGATAAATTATATAACAAAAAAAATGTCATTGATAGTGAAATTATAGAGTTAAAATTGCACAGACCTTTTAAATTTCAGGCTGCAACCCATCATCATCATCATCATCATCATATCTTTTTTCAAAGTGAGAATGAATCTATATCCTGACAAATGTCCTAAATCCTTAACCACTGTGCTGGCTGATTGGGCGACCACAAATTACATGACCTGATTTCCATAACACTGAATCTTATCAACACTGGCCTCTGAGGGAACACAAACTAATTGGTGCGACTTTAACGTTGCGTTTTCTAATGATGAGCGCTTAATTAATCTTTGAAACGCCGGCCTGTGAGTGATTGCGGCTCGGCGCTACAAAGGAAGATGGCTGAGAGGATCAAAGTCATTCCAGTCTACTGTGGAGGGATTAGGAAAATGTGGTGGAGGCATGGAGACAATCGAGCATCCAAGCCTCCAGCGAGGAAAATCCTTCCCGGCTGCAACCAAAATCTCGACGGGAGAAATCACCCTGACGTGCGGCTGTGCTAGCTGACTGACACGGACACGTGTGAGGACGGTTATGTGATATCATGGTAATCCCACTGAAGTCCCCAAACCCAATCCCTCTGCTCATGAATGGTGTTAGGGAATATACAGGCAAGAAGGGTGAAGAGGTTTCAAGAGGGCAAGAATGTCACTGCTCTTAATATCTCTGATACAAGCCCAACCTCTGATACTTTTCAACAACCATGTGTAATGTAGTTTTTTTATTGTTGAGGATGCATGTCAGTAAGAGTTAAGACATTTTACCATCCCTAAGGCTGTAGTTTATGCATTCAATGTCAAAAACAATATTCTCCAAAAGGGAAAACAACAAGGCGGAGGCGTTACTTAGATTTGACAGCAATTTAACACAAAGCAGGTGGTCCTGATGCATGAGGAGGCAGATTTTTTCTCACAAAAAAGGGAACGAATTCCCCAAAAAACATAGAGGCTACATTTTTCTTTGTCATATTTTTCTGTCTTTAATATGAGTTATATTTTTTGGCTGTAGTTCTTTTACTTGGATTACTTACCAACTGTTTCAAGAAAACCTATATGTATATAAATATGTCTTCATTATCTGCGACACAGTGTTCATTCATGAAATGATTAGAGGTGTAATGAGGGAGCAGCAGGGGGCTGAGAAAACTCTCACGGGTGCAGGGCCATAATCACCTATTTAACATGGTGGGGCATTTTCAATCAACGCCTTCTACACCCCAGCCCTCGAGGGGAGTCTGGGGGGATTTTCCTCTGGGAGAAATTTTTAGAAATTTGACAGCTAAACTGACCATTTTATAACACTGTGAGTCAAAAATCTTAGATCAGAGGTTCTCAGAGTGCCATTTTAGGAAGCCAGCATATGATTGAGGACCACATAGGAAAAGAGCAAACACTGACTTTTTTTATAACAAACTATACTATGACTTTTTATGGAATTTTATTTTTAACAATTTTAACAGTCGACAGTTATATAGCCTACATAACACTCATTTAACATTCTAGTTTCCACTTTTTTATACATTTGTAAGTAGTAAAATAGAGAAACATTGCAGTGGTTTGATTGTAGCTACCCACAGCAGTCGAGCAGCAGCTTCTGCATTTGAATATTTGGGCGGATGTGTCCACCCAATATATACATCATAACTGCTTTCTAGCATGACTGATTGAAGCTTCTACTTCTACTTCTCCACATTCACTTCACTGTGTGTTTGACTGTTCGACCTTGCAGACAATGTGCATGGGTCAATCTCGTCTGTAATAATGTAACCACTATGATAGAGGCTTTTAAACTTTTGTACTTCTGGGGGGAATTCATTCCCTCTCTTGTGGCCAGAATATTCTTCAGCTTAATGGTGGGCTAAAACAATCTATCAAACAAACACATGCCAAAGAAGCCCAATAGGAAGCATTTGCTTAGGGCTGAGTATTATTTGAAATTCTACAATAATACAACACTTAAGTTTTCAGTTCTGATAGCACAACAATCCCTTACTGATACCCTACTTTAAGATTTTTTTTCTTACAAAACCTCTCTCTTTAACAGCCAAAGTTCTCAGATGTTTTCAAATTTCTAAACCCATGCATACCATAGCTTAAAAGGGGCCGCAGTTGTATACCATGAAACTGTTTACCAAAGTGTAAACGTTGACAATTATCATACAGCGTACATTTGCTTATTAACGGTATAGAAAAAAAGACAACTGGATGGAGAATTCCTCCTGTGCACGCGCATCTACTTTCCTCCTCAACTGAAAGACATTTTACACATTTTTTAAAACATGGTTTTATGTTTCAGTTATGATAACTGATAGTAACAATAATAATTGTATGATACAGTACACCATGAAACCAAGATATTTTCTGAGATTGTTATTGTACTGTGAAAATGTCATGCCATTGCAACCCTAGTGCCTCAATACAAGTGGCAAACTTCTGATTTCACATCAGGAATGAGCTGATCAAAGAATAAGGAGATAAAATTACAAATCTGTGCAATAATTTGATGCCAGCTTTCAGTACTTGACAGGTTTATACTTGATGTTACAGATACATGTCAGTAACAGAAGTATTGAGTTTTGATACTCAGCCCAACACATTTTAAACCACTTAACACCATTTACTAAGGGTTGTGGTGGAAATTTGTTTTCTTCATGCATATGCTTGTTTCATTCTTCCTATGTGTTTGTAAGTGTGTGACCTTTGCATTCCCCTTTTGTAAACATCAGCCGTTACTTGACATCATCAAGAGATTTACATTGACTATAATCTCACCTTCAAAGACTGACATTGACTGTCTTTTTAACCAGCTGTCTCTTTAACCAGGTGAGTCAGTTGAGAACAGTTTATATACTAGACTGCAACAGGTATGTTCCTCTGATGTAATCAAGAGAGCATAATTAAATCAGGAAAGCCCAAGAAAGCTACAATTGATTTCTCATCATCTTGTCGTCTGAGTGTAGGTATAAAGATGCCCTGTATTCACTGTTCTGGGCACAAACTCTGAGCCTGAGGTTGCGTCTTCTCTGTAGAGAATAAACTCTTGTGCATGAAGCTATTCAGTCTTGTTTGCTGACTCCCAAACAGATTGGCTAAAAAATGCTACTGCTATAAATTGGGAAACTCATGTGTGTGTGTGTGTGTGTGGCGTGTGCTATTTGCCTTTACCCTTACAGGTTTAGACTCCTAGTCCATCGTTTTGCCCCCAGTGCCGCTTCCAACCAATGAAGTAACTGTAAAACTGAACTTATATTCCCTTTGCTGACCCTCCTGCAGCCTGTTCAAGGACCCAAGGTGGCACCACTGGGTGCATCAGGCTGCTCCTCCAGTCAGCAGCAGCCTGCTCATGTTACCTCCACCAAGTGTTGAAAGGAGCGCTCATCGGCTGACAGCCCACTGCTCCACTGCATCACTCTGCAGCAGTACTCGCAGGGAGCACAGAGGCAGTCTCTGCAGCCCGCACACAGGAAAACAAGCCTGGCTCGGCAGCTGAGGCTCTCTACCCGGGCTAATATTGTGCCTCTGTTCCAAAAATAGCCTCACTTGCAATTCTCGCAACCAGACAACTATGATTTGGCCTATTCAGATCCACTATCAGTGTCATGGAGTGTAAACAGAAGGCATGTTTGTTATAGTACTTATCCTGTTTAGTATAACACTATTATTTATGACTCCCTGCAGAATAATAACATAGGGGGAGCACTGGGGGATAAATAACATCACACTGTTAACAAATTATGGGAATATTATTGTGGGAATGGCAGCCTTTATGGCTTCACCCTTATTAAAATAACAAAACATGCACCTGCCCCAGCTTGGCAACTGACAATGAGGCATCATGTAAATACACAGTGGCAGTCTGTGCTGGTCTGGTCAGGCTAGTTTAGAAATCCCTAAATGACATCATGAAGTTAATAAACATTGGGTTACCTGGCAGATCTCATAATACTGAACTGAGCGGAAACCCCATAAATAAAAACTAGCAGCCAATCGTAGCCTACTAGCAGCCTATGAGGATGCAGTGGAAAAAAACTATAGCAGCAATTACTACAAGTAGACTACCCATGGGAATACTGTAGAAATAGGCTTGTCATGACAGGAGGTAACCGAGAATAAGGTCAAAAGCAGAGACAAGGATGTGCCAAAATGTAGCCATTTTATCTAAAGAGATGGTTAAATATCACTAGGCTGATTTTAAAAAGCAGCTGCTATGCAATACAAGTCAAAACCATTATTTACAGGCCTTTAGTCTAGTCAAGTGGTAATTTTGGGACGCCCTCGTGGAGACAAAAGAACGGTGCCGCGAGGCGCACGGTGCGGCGCTCGTCTCGTTTCCAAACATTACGTCCACCTGTCCTCTCTTCCCTCTCTGCGCTTCCTCACCGCATAGTCCAGAGCCAAAGAGACACGCTCGACTCACCCAGTACACCGGAGGAGCCTTGTGACGGGGCAGCGCCCGGCTCCGGCCTCTCCGCGTCTCCCTGCTGCGCTCGGTGTCGGTGCCGGGAGCTCTCGGTGCCGTCGCCGGCGGTGGCCGCACCACTGGCGGCCGCCGCGGCTGCAGCGCCTGCCGCTGCCGTCCCCGGGTCGGGCATGCTCTCTATCAGCGAGGAGCGACGGACGATGAAGATATTCTCCGGGAAATTGTACAATGGTATCGCATCTCAGGAGGAGGGCAGAGCATGGGTGTAGCGCGGCGGCCGGCGGGGGTCCGAGTGAAGGGTTAAATGAGTGTGAAAGTGAAGTGAAGGTTGTCGGTGTCGGTGCAGCGGCGGATCATCCTGGTGGTGCTCTGGAGCAGGATGCGCGGATAGATGGAGAGCGCTCCTCCGACGACTATAGAGGAGGGACAAAGAGAGGGAGGGTAGGAGGAGGGGGGCTGGGTGCCACACACACACACACACACACACAAACACACACACACACACACACACACACACACCTTACAACAATTCACCACAGTGGCCTTATAATTTTATGAGTATTGCCCCAGATTGTCTCAACAGAATTTTAAAAGGAAATCCCTCATGAGAAATTAAATTATACAGTCAGGTTATGTAACTAACAATGATTAGCTACAAACTCTCTTCATGCACATCTCAATTTAAATCTTTAAAATCCTGCAGAAATATTTCAGTCACCTTAAAATGCTTTATTTTATATATGCATGTATGTGCAGTCTCGTCATCCTCCAGGAGACATTTATATTTATCGTCCCACAGTGACCTCTGCCAGCAGCCAGGCTTCAGATTGGTGCCAGAAATAGAATCCTCTTGGCTTCCTTAAGACCCAGACAAGCAAAAAGCAGGGCTTATATTAATAATAACAATACTCATGTGATCACTATAATGCTGCTAATTGTTGTGCTCTTTTGGAGATTTATTACCCACCTTTAATTTAGACACAATAATCCTCTCAGCAGCAGGTCTCTCAGGCAGGTGGTCTCTGCAGTCCAGCAGGTAGACTATTGCTCCTCTGTGAGAATGCACTACCCTGTCCTGGAAGATTAAATAGACCATGACTTATTTATAAATGCAAAAAATATCTTCATAGATTAAAGTTTTAGTGTAGGGACAAGTAATGTCACTTCACTTTCAGTCCACAGGACACTCTGCAATACACACTGTGTCTGCAGCAGCTGTATGGTATCTATTTGAATTGGAGAAAATGCTCCTTGATCCACCAGCATTTTTATCACTTGACTATCCTCATCAACAGACTATAAGCATGAAGGCCTGCAAAGCAAACTGTGTTGTCATATCTGCTCATAGTTGACATACAGCAAACAATGGTCAGCCTTTACCAGAGCAGGCCTACACCCAAGATCATCCCTTAAAACAAACACAAATCTGTCAGTTAGTAAAACATACATGTATATTTTTTGTCATAAATGGCACAGTGTGCAGTTTAACAACCAGTGGCAGTGTTGTTAAACTGCATGCATGTGTGTGTGTGCGTGTGTTTAAAGAGGGTGGAAGTAATTTGTTCCTAACAAAGAGGATTTGATCATCTATAATAAGATCCATCACCTGATTAACAGTCTTTTTGGTCAGAAGCGAGAGAGATGTTTGTGTATTGGTGGTGCTCAACAGCTGTGAGGTGGCAGCTGTCATGCTTTGTGCACACAGCCTATAAATTATTGAGATCTCAGGTTAAAGATTGCTCCCCGGGCCTCAAGCCGTGCCTCTTCGGTGTGTACACAATCTATCTCCTTGGCCAGCCCTCCTGGATGCCGTGTGTCACCGTACAGCCGTGCAGGCAGGCAGGCAGCCCTCCCCCTCGTATGGCTCACAGCTCAGAAGTACCTCGTCTTTGAGCAGAAATTCTGCTTACTCACCACCCTCTGGGCTGACAGCTGCAAGGAGCTGCAGTGGGACACACACACACACACACACCAGTGCACATATAGCTTTTCCTCTGTGTTTTATTCCATCATATATGCATGATTTATGTAGGCCACATGTTTTCTGTTCAGGATGGACAAAATGTCAGAAACACCTGAAGATTAGCTTAAATCACAAAAACAACTCAAACTTAAAAATAACAATTTCATCAAAATTAACACTTTGCTGTGTGAGATCGACAAGTTTGTCTCTAAAGAAGCACAATTTTTGTCATGTTGGTGCTTTTTTTGTCCTCCTTCTGATGCTTCTTTGATCCAAATGGGTCTGTCTTTCATTTGTCAGTTTCAGAAAGCACACCGCTACTACCATCTGTTTCCCCAGAGAGAGTCACTTTCCATGATCTGTCACATGCCACCCATCTAATTCTTTACAACAGGATAATAAAATGAAGAGATCTACAACTATGTTGAGGAACAAACAGGCTGATAATAATGAATTTTGCAACCCGATTTATCTGCATCTTCCCATGGAATAACCAAAGACAAATGAATTAATAAGAAAGACAAATAACATGCAACATATATGGAACATATATACAGTACATCTTTCAGCAGTTAGATATATGATGTGTTATTATGCAAATCTTTTTTTGTAGCTAGGTAAAGCAATAAATAAGAACAAAGTGACAGCTATGATAAAAACCGAAATGTATATTTGATTATTATCATGAGAAATTAATAAAAAATATACAAAAAGAAAAATAAACAAAAAAAAATCCTATGGCATTTTTACTTGAAAAAATAATCTAAATGTACGATTACAATTAAAAATGATTGATTATCGAGCAAGTTGCTGATTAATTCATTGATTTTCTGCCTCTCACTACCCGATCAATTCCCTTATCGTTTGAGGCCGAATAGATCAGTATCTATACAGTCTATGATCAATACATAACAGTCGGACAGTCAGCGATGTATCGTGGAGCAACTGTAGTTACACGGACTGCATTTACCGACGCACAGTAGGCGGGACTACTAGCGGATTGGCAGGTCCTCAACAAATAGGATTCAGGAACCTGCTGCTCTGTGGAACACACCGACCAATCAGAATCAACAAAGCCAGCAACAGCCTCACCGTGATAAATGTAAACGGTAGAGGAACACTGGAGGTTGTCAATGAAACTCTCACAGAACTAAGTTTTCCTACGGTTAATAAATGGTCTTCATTTACAAGCCAACGTCACATTCATTAGTTACTACGACATTAGCTAACAGTCGAAACGGTAAACATAATGGTCTTGTTAAGGACAGAGCCGCTTTTGCTATGTCAGTCTGTAAAATCAGCCACGCCAGAAACAGCACATGAAACGTTTGGTGTTTTATAATGATGCTTTCATTGGTTTATCGTGGGATAAGGAGAGCTGCTGTCCACTCACTTAGGACAAGGTCTGTTACCAAAGATTACCATCTATTTCTGTATTTTGCCCACTAATGCAGAAACTATCATTCTTGTGTCTTTTCCTGAAATCTTGTTATTTAAATTGTTTTTGAAAGGATATATTTATGTTGCAGTACAAACTGCGGGGCCTCCCATAAAGGCAAAAACCAAAAGGCCATAAAAGATTATCGGACGAGTCAAAAATATAACTGAACACATCAATAAATACTGAAAAGAAATACAGAGCTTAATACTTTCCATTATCCTTACATCAGTTGGTAAATGAAAGCAAAGTTTGTATTTTTTCTTCACCACTTTATTAAATAGTCTACATCTAAACCTAATTTATTTACTCTTCTGTTTATACTTTACTAGCTCATTTTATATTTCAGCTCCTTAGTTTTTCATATTTTTTTTTTTTGGTCTTGAATCATTTATCTCCCAAATTTTCAGTTATACTTTTCTTGTCTGACAACCTTTTATAACCTTTTGTAAGTTCTGGGGCTCTGCAATATACAGAGCGGTGTATTTCTTAATATAATAGAATGTAGCATATTTGTTTAGACCAAAAAAAAATGCATATTAGATACTTAATGACTCCATTTTTCCTAATCAGAAGTTGTGTCTTATTTTTTATGTATCTCCAGCAGAGGAACTCCACCACGCAGATTCCTGTCCACCTGTGATGGAGTCCCACTGGTTGATGCTGAGACCATCTTTGCGCTGTCATCGGGCCATGGCAGATGTGGGGTGGCTGTGATACGAGCCAGTGGACCAGCCTCAGCCACGGCTCTGAGGTGTATGGCGGGGCTCACACGCAGCCTGCCCCCTCCACGCACCGCCCTGTTACGCAGCATCACAGACCCCCAAACCAAAGAAGTGCTGGACCGTGGACTTGTGCTCTGGTTTCCAGGTCTGTTCCCTTGGACAAGTAAAAAACAAATAAGTCTGCACACAGTACATTTTATCTCATCAGAATTCGTCTTGCATCAGGTATTCATGTGTTAACATAAATGTTCAACATTACCTGTCTCAAGCAAGTTTCAAGTGTCTGTAAGTTGAATTTTATACACTCTAGATTTAACAGTAGTATAAACCGTGCTTTAGTTGTAGTAAATGGGCTAAAATATGCAAAAACTCTTCTGCAAAAAAAGGTTGTCTGCCTGTCTTGTTGTATCTTTTGGTGTACAGTGATGACACACCAGCTTAGTTGCTAAATGCTGATTTCAAGTCCAATCTGTCATATTCAAAATGTTTTAAACAATTTGCTCTGGCTGCCATTTGATGTCACTAACTGACAAGTCAGAGCTGGTCGGCTTTATCTTATCACAGTATTGAACCTTGTGAATATCTGAATTTTAATGAAGGTATTCCTAAACATGCTGTTCCTTGCATATTTAAATGACTTAAGGTTGTTCACACCGTGTTGTTGTGTCTCACGTGTTCATGTCTTCAGCTCCTCACAGTTTCACAGGAGAGGACAGCGTGGAGTTCCACATCCACGGCGGCCCTGCTGTCATTACTGCTGTCTTACAGGCCTTAGGTAACATACAGATGATAGAATGTTATACAGCGTCATATAATGCAGTCTAACACACATGTAGTGTCATGTGATGCACCATCACTTTGCAGGTTATTTATGGTTTGTGTGTCTTCCCAGCCTTGACTTCCCAAACTTTAAGCCTGCATAAGTATTCTAAACGCAGTAACTGGTTGAGTCATGTGACTGTCCATCACTGTGACTTAAAAGTGAGAACTGACACATGCATTCCTATTTCTAAGATACTTATAATATGTGTTTTGGCAAGCGTGGCAATCCCTCTGTGACTGACATGTAATATTGTGATGCAGTTCTCCTACCGGCCTGCTGGGGGGCAGTGTTGTATAAATTAGAAATGTCAATAAAGGCTTGTCACCAGGCAATGTAAGGTTAATCAGGAATAATTAGATAGGAAAACATTACAGTGTTGTTCACGGGGATTCTGAATAATTCTTATTTTTAAAACTAAATAAAGGGTAGTGGCAGTGTTGGTAAGATGACAACCAGCTGGTAGAGTTTAAAATGGAATATTTTGCCCCAGTTAATAGATCATGACCTACATCTACCAAATGATTTGTGCTCCCAGTTGTCTCCTGATGAGATTTGAAAAATGGTTTGGAAAACAATGAAAACGTAACCTCTTTAACCCACACAGTTGTGCCTGTTTTCATTCCGAGTAAACCCTGATTGAGACACTGACCCTCCATTTGATTCTGTTTGTGATGTGTGCATGATGCATGTCCACCTCGTGCCCCACGTATTTCATCGTGTGTGCGTGTGTGTGTTTCTCAGGAAGCGTGCCTGGCATGAGGCCTGCTGAAGCTGGAGAGTTCACGCGGAGGGCCTTTCAAGCAGGAAAACTGGGTTTAACAGAGGTGGGTCAAGAGGAGCATGTAAAAACACACTGAGACAGATCGGTGCAGACTAGCATATCAAGAGCCTCTCAGAGCAGTTTTACAGAATAAGTGTGGAATAAACAGGGTAAGAAATGAACAGGGATTTCATGTTCATGAAATGTCAACAGTGAAAATTTTCTCCTAAACAGATTTTGCCCTTTGAACACTTTTTTCATTGGCCCATTAAATATTTATGTATGAAAAAAGCTATTTGGCTTCTGTAGATGGTGATTTTTTTTGTTTTCAAAAAGCAGCCAAGTATGCTGTCTTATAGAGACAGTTCACCCCCAAATCAAGGAAACATACTTTTCCTCTTATCTGTGGAGCTATTAATCAGTCTACATTGTTTTGGTTTGAGTCACCGAGTGTTGGAGATATCAGTCGCAGAGATGTCTGTCCTGTCTTGAATGTAGTTGACCAGACTGTAGTTGGCTTGTGGTTTTGAAAGCGCCAAAAATATATTTGGAAAAACTTGACAGCAGTGTCTCTTTCCAGAAATCATGACCTAGTTACTCAAGATAATCCGCAGACCTTGTTGTGATCAGTTTCATGTAGGATTTTTTTTAACCGAACTGCATCTGCCAACCATGTCACCACACAGAAGGAAGCTTGCATCTACTCATGGACGAGAGGCTCCTGTTTATGACACCACACATTGCAAACATTATGGGCCGCCTCCTTGGCTGGGCTGTAACGGCTGTAACATTAGCTAGCTCAGTGGTGCTAGGTGAGCTAGCAGTAGATGCATGCTTACTTCTGTGCGGTGAGTTTAATTATTATTCCTACATGGAACTGCTCACAATGAGGCCTGTGGATTATCTTGAGTCACCGGGTCAGGATTCCTAGAAAGAGACATTGCTGTTGAGTTTTTTAAATGTATTAATTTTGCGCTTTGAGCACCACAAGCTGAGTGCCATAGTTCCACTATATGCAAGAGAAGGCAGACAACTCTATGGCTGATGTCTCCAACACAAGGCAACTCACACCAAAACAATCTAGACTGATTAAAAGCACTACAGGTAAGAGGGAAAATGTGCGTTTTTGTTTTGGGGTGAGCTGTCCTTTTAAGCACTACTAGGGGGCTATTCTGCATATTCTGATATGCAAATATGTTTTCTCAATTCAGTACACTTTCTCCTGGAAATGATTAAAATGCCTCATAAAGTTCCATCAAGGAGCAAAAATGCTTCCTTTGGTAAAAAATATTTTATCCTAGTAATCAGTGACAAGAAGATAAGATGTCCCTGAGAGGAAGTTTTCTTGGACATCACAGCTGTCTTATTTCAAGAGACAGAGGCAGTATTGCACATCTTACACGCAGCATTACATGCTTATAAAACCGTACAATCTGTTCTGTATTCCAGAATAAAAAAATTAGTGCATAAAATGGATGAATAAAAGATATATTGTAATCATAAGTACTGTAATACCCCCTTGCAGGTGGAAGGGCTCGGGGATCTGATCCATGCTGAGACAGAGGCTCAGAGGAGACAGGCTCTCAGGCAGATGTCAGGAGAGCTGGGACGCCTTTATCAGGACTGGAGCCACAGACTGAAACGGGTAGGTTGACCTCTGGTAGAGATACTAGTGGTGTAGACAGGTTTAGCCATGATAGGGAATGCATGGTGATGTACAAACAGATGTTTGGGCTCTGGGCTTAAAGGTGTAGGTGTAGTGTGTGTGGCAGGAACTGAAGGTGTATCACTCAGGCCGGACTTCTCTCATTTTTTGGATTCATCTTGGTCTCTGGTGCTGCAAGTTGTGAAGCTGACTTTTGGCTGCCTACAAAAATTCAAGTATTTCATTGAATATATCTGTACTGCAGAATCCTGTGTGTGTAATGATCCTCCAGTTTCTACACACTGATCAGTTTGCCTGTCGGAAGGTTATTCATGTCTGTTTCTCAGACACTGTGCCTGCTTTTTTGTTTTGTTCTCAGTCAGTTGTGGGTGTTTTTTATTTTCACCTTTTTGGACTTCATAGTGATTCAAATCCAACCAGAGGTAAACAGAGAGGGCTTAAACTCTGTTCTGTCCAGTTCTGAGTTGGCTTGACAGCAGAAACAAGCCGACCTCCTGGATTTCTCCCTGGAGAGACTTTGTCCATGTTCATGTCTGACATTTCTCCGAAACCGTATCTTGGAAAGAACCTGTGTGTACTGTGCTGCAGGTCAGGCCTCAGCAGTTTCACGCTCAAACAATGCTTTCTTTTTTTTTTCCTCTTGTATTTCCACAGCTGAATTTCCAACACACCATTGGACGATTAATTTATGAGAATACGAGGCTTCCTGTTTTCATGTTAGCGCAGCACGTGTAGTACAATACTGAGAATCAAAATACTAGTCCATGTGATACGTGTATGTTTATCTTCACTGTAACCAAGATTGGAGAAAAACAGAGAGAAAAAACGGATAACAATTTAAATGAAACAGACAAGATTGGATTTAATTTTACTTCACGGAGGAGCAACCCTCCCTGGAGTTATAACACATTGATAAATCACAGAAAGAGGGTTTCTGGTTCAATCCCAGGAGGGAGCCCTTCTGTGCAGAGTTTGCATATTCTCCCCGTGTCAGTGTGGGTTTTCTCCGGGTACTCCGGCTTCCTCCCACAGTCCAAAGACATGCAGGTTAATTGGTGACTCTAAATTGGCCTTAGGTGTGAATGGTTGTCTGTGTCTTATGTGTTAGCCCTTCAATAGCAACCTGTCCAGGGTGTACCCCGCCTCTCACCTAATGTCAGCTGGGATAGGCTCCAGCTCCCCCCCGCAACCCTCAAGAGGATAAGCGGTTACGAAAAAGGATGGATGGATGTTAAACTTCAATTAAAAGCAGGGTCTTAATTAAACATCAGGTCCCTTTTACTGATGGGGTGTGGCTCCATATTTTGACACATAAACGCTGGTCTTAATTAGACACTGAGTCTGGTTGCCATTGATGCTGCAGAGCAGTTTTATTTTTATAGAAGTGCTTAAGGTAGTGTCATAGGCCACCCACTTAGAGACATGTCCACTTTATGTTAGTCCCATACTGTTTTGGGCGCAAACTATGCACATTTTTGCCTGCAGTGTTTCTTACAGATTTATGACTAGAAAAACTTGACGATCAGTGTTGACCTGCATCTCAAATTAATCTTCAGGTTTCCAGCTACCACTGCATAGCTCTCTCTCCCAAAAGATCCCCTGCCCCCCCAAAATAGGTCTACAGTATGAGGGTCTCCAAGGCTAATTGTGTGCTACTATTTTGTCTTTTCCACCACACTGTTGTAGCAGTGCAGCACTGATTTAAAGACATAACTGTAAAGTCAAGATCATAAAGTAAATTTCTTTGCCTTCACTTGATTTCCAATCAAAACACTGGTAAGAATTGCTCTATCTAGTTAAAATGGACTTTGAAACTGTTTTGAAATGCAAAATTATGGAATTTTAAACCTGCGATTAAAAAGAGTGTTTGACAGCCCTAGTTTAAATGTTTGTCAACATAGACATGCTACAAATGATTAGCTTAGTTAGACTCTTCTCAGTTCAATCATTCAGTTCTTCATGAGACATAAAAGTATAATTCATTTAGATATACTGAAGAAGGCCAAAGGTGGTGACTCCCTACCTCTGAAGCGGTCTTAAAGTCTGAATATTTGTCCATTTCTCAATCATTAATACACCTTTGGTCTGTAAGGGTCCACAGATCAACAGAATCAAATCGTTTTTCCATAAAAATGAATCCAGGCTGTGAATATTGTTTTAAGAGAATAAAGAGAGGTCTTGTGTTGCTGCTGTAAAATGAGCATTGTAACTCTCTCATATTATATGTTGATGTCTGTCCCAGATATATGCCAGCTGAGTTTAGTGATTGAAGCAAATAAAAGCCCAGGCTGTTTATTAAGGTTTCAATGTACAATAAAATCCCTGTCCAGTGGACTTCGGAAATAGTAAATTCTAGAGAGCAACTTTTTCTGTGACCATAACGTCCGGTTGACAGATCTATGGAGGGATCAAATTTCTTAATTTGTCAAGACACTTCCTATGCCATTGCTGTTATTACTGTTATGTAATGAGTGAAGTGGCTGAGGGGATCTGGTCTGTAACCACAACATCTCCTCTCTGTAGAAAAGCTTTGGGAATACAAACAAGTGTTTGGCAGCAGAACTGAGTCAGCTCACTGAGCTGTTAATTTAGACTTTCCTGAGGAAAGCCACCACTAAGTGTTCAAGGCCCATCTCTATTTTTGACTTTCTAAGAACAAGATGTTTTTTAAGAAGCTCCTTTTTTTATTGTAATGTGTAATGCGGTTGTTCCATTGTCACTCAACTGACAGCCATTTAATGTGTTTTCCATCTCCGCACATCTGGCGTTGTATTGTGTTGGAGTGATTAAAGATGAATTACCAAGCACAGCTGCGTATGTCTTAAGACAGGCACACAATATGACACTGATATACTCTGTTCAACAGCATTGTTTTCTTATCTATACAGTATCCTGGACTCAATACTGCACATAAAGATAAAGGTCAGAAAGTTAAGTTAGTCTTTATATGAAGAGAAATTAGAGTATGAGGAAGAATGAATGCAACTGTAAACTTCATGTGACCTTGGTGATGTTGAACTCTCCATACAGCTTGTGTCATATTATTTGAATGATCATACCAGGACACGTGGATAGAGGTGTTCAGCACATGATTGAACAAATCTTTAAGAAATATTTAAACTGAACTGATGACACTGAATCCCCATTGTCACTGATGGGTCAGCAGCTTTTATCAGATGAGCTCCCCACTGGTGACTTAGAGCACTTTCTCAGTTCAGCTGTTATACACAGTACGATAGTTCCTTAGAATATTAAAATGACCATTACAGCCACAGAAATAACAATAATCTTGTGAATCAGCCTTAATTGAGTGGCTGCTTAGCTATTGACCTAATATGCAGAGCTGTGTGGATAGTTTTTTTGCTGAACTGAACCTGACAGTTTGAACCAGCAACAAATTGAATGTACGACTGAACTAAAGTCAGAATCAGCGCTAGACTTTGTGGCTGTATCAAATGTGATGCGTTCACTTACTGACATATGTAGTCAAGTGTCATTTTTTTGTAATTTGAGAGCAGACAGGAAACAAGAGGAGAGAGAGACAGGTATGTCATGCAACAAAGGTCATGGTTATTTGGTATGCATCCTAAAAGGGACAGTTCACCCCGAAATCAAAAATACACTTTTTTTTTTCTTACCTGTAGTGCCATTTATCAGCTACATTGTTTGGTTTGAGCTGCCAGGTGTTGGAGATATCAGCCGTAGAGATGTCTGCCTTCTCTCAAAGATAATGGAACTAGATGGCACTCAGCTTGTGGTGCTCAAAGTGCCAAAAAATACATTTGAAAACCTCAACAGCAATGTCTCTTTCCAGAAATCATGACCCAGTTACTCAAGATAATCCACAGACCTTGTTGTGAGCAGTTTCATGTAGGAACTATTTTCTTTCTACTGAACTACACCTGCCAACCATATCACTGTGTAGAAGGAAGCGTGCATTTAATGCTGACTCTGCTGTCATGAGCATGAGCCTCTTATTTATAAGTAGATGCATGCTTCCTTCTGTGCGATGATACGGTTGATACGGCGTAGTTAAGTTAGAAAGAAAATAGTTCCTACATGAAACTGCTCACAACAAGGTGTGTGGATTATCTTGAGTAAGCGGGTCATGGTTTCTGGAAAAAGAATTGCTGCTTAGTTTTATAAAGTATTTTTGGCGCTTTGAGCACCACAAGCCGAGTGCAGTCTGGTGGAATGGTATTTGAGAGATGGAAGACTTGCCTTCGGTTGATAACTCCAACACTCTGCAACTCACACCAAAACAATCTAGATTGATAAATAGCTTGACAGGTAAGAGGACAAATATGTATTTTTGATTTGGAGTGAACTGTCCCTTTAACAATTTGGCTTTCAGGACACCCAGGATTGAAGTGCAGTCGAACAGTGATGTGCTAGGGAAACTGCATAGTCAGTGTGACTACAAACCTTAGAACTGAACTGAATGAAACATTTTTAATTAGTAAAGTGATTTCCACATCTACACATGGTTGTCCATGTGCACCACTTGACACTTGGTGATGAGTTTATGCAGTTGAACTTGAACTTTGGTGGGGGAGAGAACAGCAGTGTTTTTTGCTTTGCAGTCATCCAAAGCCCCGTCTATGTTTTGTGTTAACTTTCTGCATACAAGTTGTTTGAGAAAGATACCTGAGTCACAACATGCTGTTGTAGTTTCACATCCATTAATAAGACTTCCAAATAAGCTTACTACCCTGAAATGGTGGCAAATGTCTGTCTCCTTTATATTGTTTTCCTTTCAAGTGTTGTTGTGGCGGTTCAGAGCACAGGTCACTGACCGCAGATGAACAGTTCTACTCAATGGACGCAGGCCAAATCCTCCTCTACTGTGAAGTGTTTTGAAGAATATAGGCCAATCATCTTTCTGCGCTTTGGCACCAGATCGGTCCAGGTGATCTCCCCTGAGAAACTCTGCTAAGCTGCTTGTCGGCTGCTTTCTCAGGAGTTTCCTCGTACGTGCCTTTATTGTAGACTTCTGGGAATCCCGTTAATCAGAAGTATACCATCTGTATGATGTGAGGGGTCAAACCCTCAGTTGACACCCAAACAATGCAGGTTTTTTTTTACAGTGGGCTTCCCACTTCTGTGAATGCATTAAAGTATGGGACTCTGACACTTCCTGTTTTTGTGTGACTATACAACTATTGTGTTTACGTTCGGCGTGTCAATCAAGATACTGATCAGTGCTGTGGTAGAAATGCTGTAGATTGTCCCCCTCTGTATTCTATATAGTTTCAGATACCACACAAAGATAATTTCCAATTTCCTCTGACTAAAAGGGCGAGGGTGTAGTCAGTAGTATTTGTAGTATTTTATTTATAAATTGTTTAAACACTTTATAATCCTTTGGATAAATACAGCATGCTGTACACAGGTATCACAGGTGGTAATATGTTCATGTTAGCAGCTGCGGCACCAGCAACAGAAACTGCACAGTGCATTGGCGGCCTGTTTACCTTCACTCACATTTTCTGTGCTGGCTGCCCACATTTCAACACTGCAACATGCAAATAAAATATAAAAATATTGAAAAAATGAGCTTAATTTTCAAGACCCTCAATTATTGATGTTTTCAAGGGGTCCAAGGTGTAAATTTCACATACTCATTTCAGCCTCTTCCCTTCTCTCCTCTCTGCTTTGTGTGTCTCACAGTGTCTGGCTCATGTTGAGGCCTTCATAGACTTCAGTGAGGATGAGCTCATCGAGGATGGGGTCTTAAACCAAGGTATGTGTACACTTTGTCCTCCTTTTTACCAGAGAAAAATAACAGGACAGTCATCCCTTGGGTTTTCAGAGGGCTCAGTGTCTCTCTGAAGAGAGAGGCGTCCAGCTCGCTTTCCTGTTTGGATCTTCAGCTTGCCACCGTGTGTGTGTGTGTTTGCTGCGCTGTGGGGAGCAGCCATAGACAAACTGCTTAAAGACAGTTTCCTTTTAGGAAGTGTGGAGAGAAGGCCAGGGGGGACAGTAGAGGCATTCGTCTTGCCTTCAAAGCCAACCTGACATGTCCCTCACAGGAATAGTGCTGTCAGCAGCATTGTACAGTCCAACTGTTCTCTCTGTGCCCAGGTTTCCCATGCTCGCAGTGTATGTGAGTCTCAGTGTGTGTGTTTGTATGTGAGGGATGTCCCCCCTGAGTCTGTCGCCTGCTGTCTGGCACTGGCAGAGCTGTTCAGAAGCCTCAGATGTTGTGAAGTTTCGACACAATAACATCTGGGAACTATTGTTTATTTTGGGTGGCACGGAATGCAGGCTCACGCCTCAGAGTGGCAAATAATAATAGACTCATTTCCAAAAATAGAAAACGTGACATAAATACTCTCCATTGTCCATGTTTTATGTTATATCTGAAGTTTTCTTATGTCTTATCTCAATTCATCCCAAGTTGGATGAATTAATTTCTTGAGTAAATCAAGATTCTCAAGTTTACGTGTTTTCCGCTATATAGAAAGTAAGTATTGTTGATTCATTGTGTTGTCAAACGCATTTTTCCGCTTTAGTCACTTGCGGAAAGAGACAGTTCCATGACCCATTTTTCATCCAGACAGACGGTGTCAGACACCAGACAGGCTTTCTTATCCTTCAAAGGACACAAATTCCCATCACAAGGCCAAGAAAGTGAAGTTGAATATGAAACCTTCGTCACTTCCTGTTCCCTTGTCTGTCGTTATCTCCCTCTTACACCCCCACAGTGGACAGATCAGTGTGTGATCTGCAGGCTGAGATGGAGAGCCACCTGAAGGATGAGAGGAGGGGCGAGCGGCTACGCAGCGGAGTCCAGGTGGTCATCGCAGGAGCCACCAATGCAGGGAAAAGTAGCCTCCTCAACACACTCTGTAAGAGAACCAAAAAAACAGTGCACACACACACACACACACGCCGTGAAGGGATTAACATTAAATATGGCTTCCTATCTTTAAAATACAGACTTTACTTTTGAATCATACTGCTGTCTGCCATGTTTTGGGAGGGGATGAAGGCAACATCTGTCACACTATAAGCAGCATGGACTCAAAACATTTTGTGAAATGTGTGTTATTCATTAAAATGCAAATACTGTGTTCCATGCACAGAGAGTGAGAGAAATGTGTTTTCTTCACAAGACAAGATTTTGTAGGGAAACAAGCAACAGTCAACAGTCAACAGAATAAAGCAGTATGAAAGGAGATATATGAGGCTGCCGTATTAAGTGACCTTCATATCTGAGTCCTGGGGTTCAGTTTCGATCAAACGACAAACTCTGATGGAGTTGTAGATGATCAAATTTCCATTTTTCTTTGCACCTTTGTTTCACATTAGTGGAAACTCCAGTTACTGTTAGAGGAGCCAACATTTTCATGTGAAAGGTCAAAGGCATCCGTCCAAATTGTTGTAGATATTATAATAATATCTTCATGTAATCTAATAATCACAACAACACGCCATCCGCGCAGAGTAGATCCTGCTCTTGGCACACATGAATTACAATATTTTGGCTTCCGCGTACAGATATGATTGCTTCCGATTAGATTCTGGCCGCCAGATGATATCAGACTCCTAGTCTGCTTTAAATTGCAACTGATTGTGTAGCTATGTTAATAAAGAAATATGTATTTACATATACATTTAAACACTCAGTGTTTGAAATGCATGAAATGCAAATTGCAGCGTTTCAGTTTTCTCACTGTAAATCAGTTGTTTATCCACGTTTGGTGTCAACCTAATGAACCCCTTGTTTATGGCCTGTGGTTATGTTTGTTTAGGATATCGTATCCTTAAATCAGTTAGTATCACTCTATATAAACTTTCCAAAGTGGGGGCTTGGCAGGGTCTCCTCACAGCTTCCTATCAGAATAATAGACATATTTATCAAACTTCAGATAAAATCCTGTTATCATTTCCTCTTCTGATAAGTCTTCCCTGTGGCTCAGGCTCACACCCAGCCAGCACAGACAAGTATTTATGAGCTGGCAGCGTCATGTGACGTGGGTAATGTGGGTGTGGTCAGACAAGTTCTTGAACAAAGAAAAAAGAAACAATGGCAAAATATGCCTATAGCTGAGGCTGCCAGAGTGCAGCTGATGTGTCGAATGGTTGATAGGGTAGGCCAATATTTGATTATCACAGAAAAATTCAACTTGATGTAGAAAAAACAAGCTTGAAGCATTTTACAGATTATGTCTTGATCACATGAATCATCCTAGGTGGCAGACTTGCAGCCAAATTGTTCGATATTAAAATGTTAATATTCTTCTAACAACCAAAAAGTATGGGTTTTTTCTTATAATAAAGACACCAACTTTTGCAAAACAATTAAACGACATGGGGTAAGAAATAAACTACTTTTAGAAGGATTCATTTTACAATTTAAAGGGATAGTTTGCAGATTTTCAACCAGCTTTATATCAGTGCAAAGTGGGTAGACTCTGTAAATGAAGTCCAGTAAACTTCCCTTCATCTTACCAGCGCTCAGATCTCCCTGCTCATCTCTCAGCTCAAAACACGTCATCCAGCAGAATTTCACTGGTTCCAGAGCTGTTGCTCGAACCACATATTGTATATCCACATTTGCCTGCCACCATGGACTCAAAGAGTGTAGAAGTGCATCAAGACAGAGACCCACCCCTCTCTCTTTCTCTCTCTCAAATGCAAACCAAACTTAAGATAAGAGATTAGAGATAAGATACACCTTTATTGATCCCATAATTGAGAAATTCCAAATTGAGAACTACAATCAAATAGTAAAACTAGGTATCGCTAGGTATGGCTTCAGAAATATATTTTAGTGCATTGGTTCCCAACTGGTGGGTTGCAGTCGAAAAGTGGGTCGCTGGTCCATTCTGAATGGACGTTTGGGTCTTACAAATAATTCTGGTGATATTCTATATTTTTCTTGCAGTCAACAACTCCCATGAAACAACCAAAAACAACCATGAATTTATCCTAGTAACAACAACTGTGTGCATAGCCAAAGTCTGATACGTACTAATCCGCGGCTGAAAATAGTCCCCAACCATTACACTGTTTACTTATGTTTTAATAATGTTTGCAAAGAGCTACAACTGTAGCGTAAATGCAGATGATAATTTTCTGTACAAACGAATGGGCATGAGGCTGACACAGACAGAGTGAGAAGGTTTGAAGAGTCAGGCTAACACATTGTTTGTTTTTCTTGGGATTTTCTGACAGTAAGAAAAAAATACAGTATTGCCAACTTTATCCTTTAACCTTTTTATACCCAGGCCAGAGACCTGCAGCCATTGTGTCTCCCATTGCTGGCACCACCAGGGACATAGTAGAGACAGCACTGGACATCGGTGGATTCCCCGTCCTCTTGAGTGACACAGCCGGCCTCAGAGAGAGCCCAGACGTTGTGGAAAGGGAGGGAGTCCGCCGAGCTCGAGAAAGGTACAGGAAGGAAGAATTTTTATTTTGACTATTCCAAAAAGCATTTTATCTCAGTTTCCTGCTTTGAAGATTTAAAGAGACAGATCAAAAACAAAATTAACGCTGGTATTTGGAACATTGGCGAGAGCCACAGGACTGTGGTACACGTGTGTAATAAATAGATTGCTGCCTCAGCGACTGTTCACATGTGTATAATAAAACACAAAACAAATTAGCCAGCAGACCAATGGAATACGTCCTTGAAAACAAAGAAAGGAAGAAATAAGTCGTTTTTTCCCCCTCTTGTACATCATGTCATATTTTTGTAATGTCTATGTAACCTCCAGAGTTTATATTATTGCTGAGCCATAGTTATAAATACATGGGACAAACACTCCCAGGAGGTTGCGTAATGAAGAGCCTCCTTTCCGTATTGTAGAGTATTTACTATTGAGAGGTTCTTCATGTGAGAATGGACATATATGGCAATTCACTGACAGCTGCTTCCACTGTTTACACCACAGATGAATAGCAGTACTTGTAGCACTTGTCATCACTGCTTTATCATATATAAACAGACAACCAGAGGAATGGGCACATACAGATGTTATTACATCATCGTTTGTACACAGACACAAATATGATTTATTGCATTATTTATGGTGTTAGAAAGCTGTAGGACATGTAACAACCCACCTGCTATTGTTTAGTAATTGATTTAAAGGTGAAAGTAAAGTTTCCACGACTTCAGCAAATATTTTGTAGAAATTATGACAACTTTCAAGCCAAAAAAACAGAACAAAAACAAATGTCAATTGTTTCCCGAAGTACTCGTGTTCTTGGCAGGGAGATGAAGCATCAACAGTTAGGTGTTACATCACTACATGTGACCAGTGTCAGTGAGATCTGTGGTAGTTTCAGATTTACAGCGACTCACCGCACCTTTTCAGTGGGAGAGAATACTGTTAAAAATCTATTTCATTAAAAAAAATGAAAAACCAAAAAAAAAAAAAAATCGGATGCAAAACATCAATGAAAATCCTAATGAAGATGCAAGTACAAAAACACCATCTTCAGAGCAGACATACTGTGATTCCTTTACAGTTTGTTTAAGTTATTTGGCCGACCGGGTGGCTCTGTAGGAAGGGTGGGCAGTTTGTGCTCTAGGGGGACATTTCTGCACAGGTCAGGGGGTCATGACCTGGGTCACTACAGGAAGGACACGGTAAGTACAAGCATCCGCTGATGCTGCTAACCGCACAGCGGGACGAAGGTGCAGGAGTGTTTAAAGTGAATACCATTAAGATGAGTTAATTAGAAATATCCCTGCCATCACCCACAGTGTTTATGGGACATACTGTAACATTTTCTGAAACAAAACAGCCAGGCATCTGTTCAGGGGTGTCTCACCAATGTATAACCTGGAACTGCTGCAGTTGCTGAAAACATATTTTTAGAGTAACACAGCATTTCTAAGGACTTGACTGCCACATGAGCTATTATAAAAGTGCAATAGGTTGTGAAGTGTAAAATTATCCAAGTCACCCAAAAATCTCAATTGGTTCTAAACAGCCACCATAGACATCTTTTCCATGTCGAATAGCTCTGTTGGGCTCAACTTAAGTATGATGAATGTGAGGGGCATGAATGTGTGTAACAAATGTCAATCCATCCAACATTTTTGAGATATTTCAGTGTGGACCAAAGTGGTGGACGAACCAACTGACCTCAGGGCCACACAGTTAGCGCTAGCACACAAACATAGGTAGTGTTGGTATGATGATTAAAAAAAGGTAGAAGTATTTACTTTACCAAGAGCAGTTGGATCAGTTTAGAAAATGTAAGTATATTGCAGCCTGAGAAAGGATAGGTGTGTCATAATATAACATAAGAATTTAAGGTATCTAGTCTGAAATAATGTCTGTGCTTTGATCAGTACACCAATTTTCTGTCTGTGGATATGTGCCATTTCATATACAGTGTAAATTTATGAGTAAAAATCTTTTTCTGTGCTGTTATGATCATATGATATCGTATTATCTGAGGCTGCTTTCTTTTTTCCAGAGTGCAACAGGCAGATCTGACCCTGGTGGTTGTGGACTCTTCTCAGCTCCCCTCTGATGCACAGAAAGCTGCAGACTTCCTTCAGTGGTACCTCAGGAGTGTCCTGCCCACAGAGGAGCAGCCTGAGACAGGTATGATATTTTAGCCTCATGTGCTCCTGCTTCACCTCGACAGTCAGTGGCTCTTGCAGTTATAGTTTGGCATCTTAAAGGGATAGTGCACCCAAAAATGAAAATTCAGCCATTATCTACTACTCACCCTCATGCCAAGGGAGGCTCTGGTGAATTTTTAGAGTCCTCATATCCCTTGCGGAGATCAGCGGGGGGATCGGCTAGCACACCTAATGGCTGACGGCGCCCCAGACTAACATCCAAGAACACAAAATTGAAACCACAAAATATCTCCAACATGCTCACCTGTAGTGATCCAAGTGTCCTGCAGCCCCGACATAAAAGGTTGTTACGAAAAACGTCATTTGAACTCACTGTAGTCACAGTCACTGTGTTTTTAGCCTCACTGTAGCCTGTAGCTCTGACTGCTTCTCTGTGCTCCGCTTTCACGTGTGCGCACTTGCGCGAGACCAGCAAAAGCACGAGCTTTGCTTACCCATGTTTACATCATGTGACACGTGCACCGCAGGGAGAGACAACAGTAACCACATATCCGAGACCAATGCCATTGTCTGCCTGAACTACGGTAGAAATGAATGACTTACTCCTCTGAAAGCCTGCCATCTGGTCCTGCGGGCCTCTGCCTTTTCTTCCAGTTGATCTTGGGGAAGTAAAAAAAATGTCTCCAGAACACCACGGGTCAGTAGTGCTGGAAACTCAGGGTGATCGGTGATGCACGGTCTCTGAAGAGCAGCAGTCTCGTCAGTACTGATGTCCAGATTCTCAAGTGCAGGCATCGCCAATTCCCAGTCTGAGCAGCAAAGACTTTCCTCACCCGTTGGCATTGCTTTGCATTTGAAACAACTACACCACCAGGTTTCCAGTGCTCGACTCCGGTATTCTGCGGCTGGCTGAGGGTTAGGCTCATGAGCTGCGGCGGCTGCTTCGTCCAGTAGCCTGAGTTCTGCGTCCGTATACTCGGGCTCAAAGAAATACGGCTCAACAAAGAAATGCTGTTCCTCCTCAGTTTCAAAGTCGTCAGACATGTTGGGCTGTCCTTTGCTAAAAGACCGTAGTGCACAACATCTTTTAGCTACTGTGGTTACTGTTGTCTCCCCCTGCAGTGCACGTGTCACGTGATGTAAACACGGGTAAGCAAAGCTCATGCTTTCGCTGGTCTCGCACAAGTGCGCACACATGAGCGCGGAGCACAGAGAAGCAGTCAGAGCTACAGGCTACAGTGAGGCTAAAAACAGAGTTCATATGATGTTTTTCGAAACAACTTTTTATGTCGGGGCTTCAGCACACTTGGATCACTACGGATGAGTAATTGTGTTCTTGGACGTTAGTCTGGGGCGCCGTCAGCCATTAGGCGTGCTAGCCCCCCCCCCCACCCCCATGATCTCCGCAAGGGATGTGAGGACTCTAAAACTTCACCAGAGCCTCCCTCGGCATGAGGGTGAATAGATAATGGCTGAATTTTCATTTTTGCGTGTACTATCCCTTTAAGTACAATAAAGTTAATATGCATGGTACACTTACAGTCTCAGGTGGCAAAATTTCCCCTTTAAATAACTTTTTAAAGTGCAACCTGAGCCACCAAGAGTGATCAAATAGAAATCTCAGTGCCTGAGGGAGTAATAGTCAATTCATTAGTGACTGATCAACATTTTCATTTCCTTCTGTTCTTACCACAGTATTTCCTGCAGACAGGTTTCTCCTGGTGCTGAATAAAACTGACCTGTTGCCTCAGGAGCAGAGGCTGAAGCTGAACGGGGAGCTGATGCGGGTCTCTGGACTCCCTCCAGTTTGTCTGATCTCTTGCCACACGAATGACGGACTGCAGGACTTCCTCACAATGCTGCACAGCAGTGTCAAGACTCTGTGAGTGTCCACAATATATCATGTTTTGTTGACCCAGGGCAAAGACTGCATGTCTCATTTAAATGTTGTACCAGAAAGATTGAATTCTTCTGTGATGCATTTATTCAAACCAAAACTTATGTCAGCGTGGATAAATTAACCTGTTGCTGATCATAACAGGCTTCCAGAAACATCTTTATATAACCCCTCACTGATGTTTTGCAGTTTCCATGTTTTTAAGGCTCGTTTTAACTAATTTATACCAAAGATTAACTAGTTTTGTGAGGTTGATTGGTTCAGACTGATGTAGCTGTGGCACACATTGCTGCCTGCCGCAGTGTCTTTTCTGATGGTACCACTACCACAGAGATTTTCAAATCCTTCTCTATACTGTAGATAAAAGAATGAAACAAAAATATTGTGCTGCAAATGTTTTCCACCCTTTCCAAAGTACAAAATAATGACCATCTGATTCATTTTGTTATCTAACTTCCTCTTGAGGTGTGGAGACCCTTTGTCTGGTGCCCCCACCCTGACCCAGGCCCGCCACAGGGCCCACCTGCAGCAGTGTTTTGCGGCCCTGGCTCAGTACCAGCGCTACCGCGATATCGACCTCGCTTTGGCAGCCGAGGGTGTCCGGTTGGCTCTCACCAGCCTGGGCCGGATCACTGGACGTGTCGGGGCAGAGGAGATCCTGGATATCATCTTCAAAGACTTCTGCATTGGAAAATAGTCAGATGAGCATTCTTGTGTGGTCCCAGTGTATCAGTAAAGAAAACGGACAAAAAGGGCACTGCCTCGGCACTATGCCAGGCTTCGAGGCACAGCAAATTCATGTTCTTGGCTGCAGGATCACTCTGCTCCCAAGACACAGAAATCCTTGTTTTCAGCAGATGCTCTTTAACAGAGTGAAATAGTTTTAACGTGAGGACAGGTGCCTCAGAGGCCCTGTGTGCCGGACAAGTCTTTGGCAAGTCTTGAGTAATAATTTAAAAATAGCTTCTCAGAGCCTTTGATAGGTGAACATTGGGCTCTTGGGTCACAACATAACAGCCAAGATCATTTTAAATTAAGCCGGTTTCCGACCTCTGCAAGGTCAGAGACTTTGGATGTTTACTTGTACTGCAGGACAATGAGGATTTTTTTTTTTTTTTGGAGGAGATATCATTTCAGCTGCATCCATTTATGTGTGTCTGTTCTTTAAATGCACTATTTGTTGTGTTATATATGCCATTATGTGTCGTCTGTGCATACTTGTATGCAGTAGACACAGGCTGCAACTTGCTTGAGAGCACTGTTGGGAGTAATTGGTTATTCCAATAGTTTTTGCAGCAACTAGAAATGTAACTCATTCCTTTTTCAAATAAATAATGCAATAACACTTATTGCATTTTAAGTGGGCTTGTTGCTCCCTACTTTTGTTTTGATCATAGCAGGCAAACAGATCCAATTCCCTGGATTTTTTTTCCAGTTATGATCTAATGCCACACGTAGTGGTGTGTGTGTGTGTGTGTGTGTGTGTGTGTTTGAGTGAGAGAATGGGAGACAGCTGCAGGGGAAGAGAAGATGAGAAGTGGACTATTGCATGCAATCCTTCTGTAAGTAATTAATAACTTTAAGTTATTCAGAATGCCACGGCTGGACCTGCTGGTTGATCAGCACATCACTAGTCACTCAGCCTTACGGTGACGCAAATATGCTGTGACTCATTCAATCAGCGCTGTCGCTGCACTCAGTGGCCGACAGTTTAGGGGATTTGAGCTTGCATTATATAGGAAATAGGGACATTATTTTCCCTCCTTGATATCAAGGACAAAAATGCCTATAGCTGTGAGTTGCAGTCTGGTTGCAGGATTTGAATTACTGTTTAGGTTAAAAAGAAAACACTTCACCGTTTTTTCATTTTACTCTGCTTATTGTAACTAATTAATACTTTTCAGTAACTTGTACAACACTGCTTGAAAGTCACATATATTTCATTATGAAAAAAAAAAGAAATTATGTGTGACCATTTAGAATTTAGACGGTTCAGTTTAGGACTAGATGTTACAGTATCTTGATGCACATATTTTAAATTATTAGGAGAGATAGGGCAGACTGGTGGTTTCCGAGTGGGAGCCAAAGGGTAAAGGTTAGATGGATAGAAAAGTATGAAGAGCATGAGTAGATGGAAAAGTAAGAAGGAGCATAAGGAAGGCAGAGCCAAGGAGAGACGTCTGTGCAGACTGAACTGCCCCCGCCGGACCAGGCTGTACACTCTACCCCCCCTACTCCCTCATTTTGATCAGAGAAGAGAGGAGAAACCAACAGAAGAAAATCTTACCTAACTTTAATCGAGGTGGAGTTTAACTGGTCAGTTGTTGTTGCACATACCTATGATTATGAGTGATAGTTTGAGCCCTGCTGGGGGAGGGGGTGGGTGTTTAGTTTAATACATGTTGCATGAGGTCTTTAATGTGTAATAAATGGGATAATGCGTGCTTTTGTAACAAATCAAACTTATGAATCAAACAGAGACCACAGAGCAAATCTTAGAAATGAGGGTCGATTATCTTTAAATCTCAATTTTTTTTAATCAATTAATTATTTATTTTTTTACATCTAGGATGCAGTGCAGCAGGCCGTAAACCCAATATTAACATTTAGTCGAAACGTCCTGGGTTCAATTTTGATTGTATATCATACCCTTTTCTCTCTGTGTCCTCCATTTCTACACTGTCCTCTGGCAAAAATGCCAAAAACATACAAAAAAAGTTATTAAGACAAATGTGTTAGATGCCTGTTTATACAGTACATCGAACAGTTAGGGCGCGATATCACCATTGTGTTTCAAGTAAAGACACATCAAGCACTTGGTTGCAGGCACTTTTAATGGCGTCACACACCACATTACACACTACACATGTTCATAATACCCATATTACATGAGACAAGTATTATCTGAAGATTGAAGGGATGATGTCTAATTTCTGATTTATTCCAAGTAAATCACATTTTGAGTCCAGCTCTAGCCGTCAAACACAATGTCTTATAAATACGGTCTTTAGAGAGAGTCAGAGTGACCTAGATCCCCTCTCTGCTCTGTGGGAAAGGGACATTTTCAGAGGCGATGCTCTTTGTTCCCTTGTCAATCTGGCCTCGATCAAATATTTATGTTTCCTCGTTGAACTCCTCACCCTTCTTCCCCAGTTGGTTTCTTCTCTCCCAGTCTCTGACGACAGTTGCCCTGCTGTACAGCAGCATAACTGCCCGTCTCGCTGCCTTTTTGTCTCTCTCCGCTTCGTTTCTTTCTGCTACCTGACCTTTCCTCTTTCCGCACTGCCCTGTCAGCCTTTTTGTCCCCCTTTCATGTTCACCCTGATTAATTACCACACGGGGGGGGGGGGTAAGCTAAAAGTGGGACTTGCTGTCATAGAAATTAGTGGCAGTAAATTTTGGAGCCTGGTTTGTTTTTGAAGTGGTGCCCGTGTGTGAAGTCCTTTGAATCATAATGTTTACCAAATGTGTGGATAGTAACTGCCAACACAGTACCATTGTTTGTAAACTGATACAGTAGCAAAACAGTCCTGTTTTTTTGACTTTAAGGATTGGCACCATAATTTGTAGAGACCTTCATAGTTTCCTTAATTCTAATGTGATCCTCTGACTTTTCCTCGAGCACCACCGCAACGTGCATATTTGTGGGTTTTAATCAACATGTGCCCCTCAGAATGTAACAGTTTTGGTGATCCCTTAACGTCTATTCGAGCACCATCATCAGGTCAACATTTTGAACGGTCCAGTACTATAAAAATAATGACACTCTCATCAGCCTCAACTGTACTTGTGTTTCATGCCAATTAACCCCCTCGCTAAGTCCCTGGTAAATCATAACGTATCGGGCCAGCTCAGACCAGGGTCTGACAACAACAGCTGTGCTCCATTGACTCTAATGCAGTCGTTTCAGAGTTCCTTCATTTTCAGGCTGGTTTTGTGGATTTGGAGCTAAATGTTGTGCCTGGGGCACGTCGTGTATTAATGATACTCGTTACCTGGAGAGGTTGGAAAAAGATACACGTTTCTTCCCTGTTCCAAAACCAAAATCAGACCCTGAAAAGTGTAGGGTTAGCTAGCTAGCTACTGAAGATATAGCCTACTGAATGTATACACATGCTGCTTTTGCTTTTTAATGATTATAACTGTGAATAAAAGCCGACCCTGCTGTACAGGAACCAGTGAAGGGAAGCAGGGAAACTTTACTGATATTCAACCAGCTGTGTGTCATCACATTGTGTGCAGATTGACGTCGTTTGACTTCCCCCGGAGATCCCTTCCTGTCTGGCGGCGGAGGTGCGGGTGCTGGCAGCCAAATGCCATTCACTGGCACACACCGTGATGCCACACAGCTGGTTCAGTATCAGCAAAGTTTCCCTTTATATTCATTGTCTTGTGTGGCGATCAGCAGTGATGTGGTGGTTCACTTTTACATTGATCTGTAGCCTATAGTTCGGCTTTAGCTTCTAACTATCTTTGTCTTTTTAACCTGTTGTTGCTGCTGAGTCAGTTTGACATCCTGGATATATCCTTCAAACACAGACTGTAGACCCCTCTGTCTGCTTCTCTCTGGAATCACTATTTCTTTTTCTCCAAAAATATGCTAATATTTCTTCAGGGAGTGCAGTTAGTTACAGTGTGGGCTCCATGCTTACTCCAACAGCTTGTCGGACCATCACAAAGGGGCGGAGCTTAGCGAAACGTCAATTAGCAACTGTTAGCATGCTACATATAACATATAGATCTGAACATTAACCCTGCTAAACATCAACATGGTAGTATTTCCTTAACAGAAGTAGCCAAACAAGAACCTTTTTTTATTTAATTAAATCTGGAACAACCTGATTAGAGAATATGTACAACAACATGGTTTGACAGATTGTTGTTGGTCTCATATTTAAAGACACAATGAGTTATATAAAAAGTAAAATAAAAAAAAAGTTTTTGGACAAAACCAGAAAGATGTAAGACACAGATTAATGCTCATCACTCATCCCACTCTTGTCTTCATTCTTGAACGTGACACAGCCAACGTTTGTGCCACGATAAAGTTCACAGCTGACTAATGAGCGGTGCTTTTAACTTTCTGTCTGCCACTTTCCTGTAGTTATGATAAATGACTGTCCTGAGATGCGAGGCTGACGTAGCCAGGTCTAGTACAGACAGTTCCACCCTGTACCCATTTGACTAGAAGTCAGGCTGTGTGTGTGTGTGTGGGAGGTACACATAGGATGAAAAATATTTCATGTTAAACAAAGGATTTCCTGAGGACAGGAGGCAGACTGACTCACCTGTAACACTCACATCCATCACTGCAGCCAGACTGGGAGTTTATCCTCGTGTAGTTTCTTATGCAATATTTGTTCTGTCGAAATAAACATATTTTTTCCATGGAGGATGCAAGCTTACCAAAAAGATGCTATATGAGTCAGGAAATACAGTAAAGTTGTTGAGATATCACTGATGCACATTCATTGCCACAGTCTTCATGAAAACCTAGATTCTGTTCTGTTCCAGAGTTATCAGATTTCATAGTGTGGGAAATTAAACACTCAAATGAGCTGATGGAGAACAACGTTGGTAAAAAGTAATCATGAGGAGTGGGTACGTCAGCATATATAAACGTGTTCTATAAAGACTGAGGAATATATATGATCAGTCATTTTAATTTATAAACAAATTCCATCATTTAAATGTTGGAAAGGTTTGTCAGTTTATGCCCTCCACCACTTTTTTCTGGCTTTTTTTTTGATATGTATAATGATTTTTAATAACATTTCAATAACAAATTTCCATGACACGCAATACTATGGCAGTTTTTTGACACGTTCATATAACATTTTTATGGTATTCTACACTATTAGCTTTTTTGTAATAACATTCTTTATGATATACTATAGTATGACATTTATAATGAAAAATTTAAGGCCTGCTATACAAGGCTTTTATGATATTTTATGGCATATTATACTATGACTTTTATTTCTATACAGAAGCACATTTTATGACATACTATACTATGATAGTTTTTATGACATGTCTATGGCATACTATACTTTGACTTTTTGTGGCATTTTTATGACATACTACACTATGGCAGTTTTTATGATACATTTTTTATGGTATACTACACTATTACTTTTTCAACATATTTTTTGACATACTAAACTATGACTGTATTTATGACATTTTTCTGGCATACTATACTGTGATTTTGTAGGGTTTTTATGATATAGTGTATAGTATAATGATTTTTAATATATTTTTTACATTTTTTAATGATAAGTTTTTGACACATTTTTATGAAATTTTTAAAGCATACTATACTGTGACTTTCTATGACTTTTTAATTATATAATATACTATGAATTTTATTACATTTTTAAAACATATTTCATGTCATTAAAAATGTCACACTATAGTATGACATTTTTAATGACATATTTAAGGCTACACTAAACTATGACTTTTTATGGCACGTTAATGACATCCTGTACTTTGACCTTTTTATTGACCTTTTTTTATTTGTATTACACTTTTATGGCATACCATATTATGACTTTTTTTAGAAATACATTTTATTTTTTTTTTACATACGTTACGATGACTTTATGACATTTTTATGGCATACTGTATTATTGTCACTGTTTTAAATGTTTTTATAGCATTTTTATGACGTGCTTTACTATGACTTTTTAAGGCATTTTTATGGCGCACTACACTATGGCAGTTTTTATGATACATTTTTTATGGTATACTACACTATTACTTTTTTTTAATATATTTTTTGACATACTATACTATGACTGTATTTATGACGTTTGTCTAGCATACTATGATATGATTTTGAAGGGTTTTTATGATATAGTGTATAATGATTTTAATTTTTTTTCACATTTTTTGATGATATACTTCGACCGTTTTTGGCACATTTTTATGACATTTTTATAGCATACTATACTGTGACTTTTTATGACTTTAATCATATAATATACTATGAAAACATTTTTCATATTTAAGGCTATACTATACTATGACTCTTTATGGCACGTTAATGACATACTTTACTATGACCTTTTTATTTTTAATTATACTTTTACGGCATACTATACTATGACTTTTTTTAACGTACATTTTACATATGTTTTTTACATACGTTATAATGACTTTACTACATTTTACCATCACCTTTTTCAGTGTTTTTATAGCATTTTTATGGCATACTATACTATGAGTTTGTAGGGCTTTTTGTGTTATAGCGAGTCTTAACAACATTTTTATGTGATTTTTCATGACATGCAATACTATGACAGTTTTAATAACATTTTTATGATATACTACACTATGACTTTGAGTGGCCTTTTATGGTTAACTATTATGATTTTTTTTAAACATTTTTGCCACATTTTTCATGACCATACTATGACATACTATACTATGATAGTTTAATGACTTTTTTATGATACACTCTGGCTTTTTTAATGACATACTATAGTATGAAATTTCTGTGACACATTTTCTAATACATGTCACTGGCATACTACACAATTATACTTTGACTGTTTCATCACTTGTAGTTCACGTTTGTCATGACCTATGTATTTTTTATAGTCACGATGAGGCAGTTCAAAGAAAGTTTGCTGCTACAGTGACTGTATGCACTCATCATCTTGTACCTCGGAAAGGAAAAGGAAGTAGTAAAGCTTGAGAACAGTTTATGTAACAGCTACTCTCCTGAACTCATAAAATACTCCATTAAAAAGCAATTAATAGACTAATAGTCTCAACCTATCTTTACTGAGTTACTCATAAAAACTACTGCTTCTAATGTAATTCATTCCGAATTTCTTACGTCTGATTTCTGACACATCATGTTGAGGACTGTGAATGACTGGCCAGAGTGATGATGTGTTTATGACTTGGTCAGTGTATGTATTGTCATCTGACCTGCAGCAGAAACCATTGGGAATCACTAGGAAACATAAATGTCTCCATTTTAAGAGCATTCTGTTTAAAGCAGACAAGTGAGCAGCTGCTGTCTGAAGTCCTGTCTTTGTTGTATTTTAGTGACGGAGAGATGAACAACACTGAGGATGAGACAGTTTTTGGTTAATTTAATTTTAATTCCAAATAACAGATTTTCATAACTACAGAACAGTGAGTGACATTAAATAAAAATATTTACACCAGTGTCATGGAAATTTGTACATTTACCCTGGAAGATACCCAGACTTTTCACAGCACGTGTTTAAACTCAAACAAAAGTAAAATAATAATTAATTTTCTATTCCACAAAGAGCTTAACAAAGCATGCACAGAGCAGCAACAGTGAATATGTCATTAACGTGAACACAGAGTATTTACAGGTTATGTGAAAGTGTGTTGTATCAGCGATATATACATGTTCTTTGAAAAAAAAAATCTTTAAAGGCAAAATGTCAATCCCTGTGACGCACCACTCCTGTCTTCAGTTATTACTCTGCCGCTTCATTTCATCTCACCTGAAAGACAAAATATTGATGATTATGATTAAATATTAATGACAGCAATAAGGGGATAATTGTCTCTGAACACTGGACTCAGTGTTGAAGCAGTTAACAGAATGAAATATCTGAAGAAGAGACAAATAAGACAGACAAAAACCTGCAAAAGTTATGATATTCCCATCAGCCTTAGCTATTCTTTGTGCTGAAACGCTAAGCTACAGTGGCAATTATTAGCATGTTAGCATGCTGACGTTAGCATTTTGCTCAAAGCACCGCTGACTGTGATTGAAGCCTCACAGAGCTGTTTTTGACTCTCAGCTTGTTTCAGTATTTTCATAATGAAGACCATCAAAGAACTATATTAAAAGATAACACAATGAGTGTCTTTTGCACATGATTCTATGTAGGTTTAAATGTAATTACATGTTCAGTACAGTAAAAAAAAAAAAAAAAAATATGACACTTGCTGTACAGAAATTACATTTGAGATAACCAGTAATCTAATTTGGGTATTTATTGCAATATGAAGTTTACCGTTGGAGGTTTGCTGATGCCAGGTGCTCCAAAAGAGGCTTGTAGGGCGGCAGGTTTAGGAACGGCAGACTGGAAAACAAAGCAGATTAAAGCAGATTATTCCAGTGTTATTTATTATTGCACACAGATACCACATTTGGGCAGCTTCTTCTAACTATGCATGTCTCACCCTCATTACACTGGGATTTAAACTGTCCACTAATGACTCTTTAAAAATGTTCCTCCTTTTGTTATCTTGCCTATCCATCCTTCCTGCTGCCTTCAGGGTTCTCTTTTCTGCCAAGTCCACACGCACCACCTTACCACTGCACTTCTGTCCATATAATCAGTGGAGTAAATCTTATTTAAAAGCACTGGAGTGCAAAAAGCTAAAATACAGGAGATTTATCCAGATGGTGTTTTGAAAGCAGATTATATTAATGCTTTACATGAGCACAAAAATAAATATCTGTCCTTCATGAATGAAGGTTTGAAATCATTTGTAGGTGCTGCCTTCCCTAATTTCCCTTCATATGTATGTACAGAGCAAACAGCAGGTCCTCCACATTTTTTACCTTGAAACTGGGCTGAGCAGGGAGCATTCGTTGGAGGGTCTGAAGCTCTCTTTCTCTCAGGGCCAAAGTGTCTTCTGCCAGCTTCTTCTGGTCTCTCAGCCAGTTCTGCTCAATCAGTAATTTCTCCACCTGAACAAAATATGCATGTGATATTTTATATAGAAAATGTAGATGTAGAAATGTTCCTCATTTGTTTTGTGCTACTGTATGATTTAAGTTCTTGATGAAACGGAAATAAGACTAGATTATCATCACTTTTTAAATCAGCGGTCACAGTTTTATAACCAGATACTGAGGACATCAGGTTCTTTCGTGGATCTCTCTCTTGTTTTCCATTCCCCACCCACATAAACACATCAGTGCACAAATATGACCTACCTTGTCGTCATGAGCCTTTTGCTTGAGCTCTAGCTGCTTGGCAGCCTCGGCAGTCGTCTCACTGCGACTGCGTTCACACTGCTGCATGTCAGAAGTCAAATGTGCGTTTTGCACCTCCAGACGACTGGACAAGGCTTGGATCTCCGCCACCTGGAAGAGGAATTTTTAATGAATTTAATGTACTTTAATGTGTGTATAAATCACCTCACACTTATTTTGTACTTCACTTTCCTCTTGGACTGTTAATATCTTATATCTATGGATGTATGTGATGCCTGTTGGTTTGAGGGTTGTGTATTATGTGTTAATTGTTTTCTCTGCGAATTTTGTGTTATGCTGTGATTGCTTGATTTTCTGTTATAAGCACACTGCAACATATTCCTAACAACTAAGTTGTATGGCAATAAAATATTGAAAATATAATTTGCTTTTCTAGACTCTGAAGCAGAATGTGGGAGTCACTCGTATATAATCGGCAGTGGTTAAAGATTGTGTCAAACCCGTCTGTTTCCAGATGGTGCCCTTACATAATGGTTTTTGTTTACCATGTGTCTATTTCTATCTGTCAAGTGTTTGTTAATGTACATTTTCCTTAACGTCTTCCTCTACACTGAGTGTCTCCCTGAGGGCCACAGGACATAGGTTAATGATGCTCTAAATCAACCATTGAGGTGCCTGTGACACTAATGTTTCACCAAATACGGAGCTGAGTCAGTGGGATGTATGTATTCACATAATGGTTTCATAAGTTTCATGAATTTGACCGTGCGGTTTGAAAACTCAACTGTAACACTCAATATTAGGAAAGCTGTTGTCATTTTGCTTTTCTTTCAGGACCTAAAAATTAAAAGATTAATGGACAATCTATTTAAGGGGTTTTGTGAAGTAAAATATCTCAGTCTTATGTCATATTCCCACCTAAAGTTTGAGAAACATGTTAAATATGTGAGCAAGGTTCACAAAAAAACCCAACAACTACTGTATATATTTAGATTTAAAGACAGTTTAGTATTTTATGCTACAAATAATTGTATCTATTCCATGATGTTTTCACATTTAAATTATTGTGTAGCTGCCACTTATGATTGCAAACTCTCAGTGCCCACTTTATTGGATAAATTTAATGCAATCCTATTTAACAGCTCAGTCATAAATTCTGCCTTCACAATAATTTGGTTAATAATGTTCAGTTTATATTGACATTGACAGAGAGGTATGAATTTAACTACAGTTTTATAACTGAGGTAAAAGTTTGCAGTGCTGTTGAAATGGACTACATTATATTAAGAGGTGCTTCTAATGAGTCAGTTTTAAATAAAATTATTGTTTGTGTTTTGTGCTTTTTTTCACTTGACTTCTGTGTGTAAAGGCTAATCTATGGCCTGGCACTGCAAACTAGTTTAGACTATAAATTCTGTGGTGTGTAACGTTGGTCCATGGTGTATACTTATCCCTACAAAAACAAACATTAAAAAAATTTATTTTATTTTTTTCCACATAGGGGAAAACTGATTTTAAAAAAGCAGCAAAAAAGTTTACAGTTACCACTAACATCAGACAAAGAAAGAGACTAAGTTTGATAATGAGCTTATGGAAAGGTGATACATTTTTTGTTTCTGTTTTCCTGTGCTGCTGAATCAGTAGTGACACACACTTCACCTCTGCTTTGACCCTGACTGCGCCTCAGAGGACATCTGTCTCTTTAGCCATAGATTTATCATGAATGAATCAGCAGATAGACTTCCTCCCTCGAGAACCTGGTTTCCCATTCAATTTGTTTTTTGGAATATTCCATCAGAGTTTAAAGAGAGTTTAAAGGAAGGCTGGAAAGACAGAGGTACAAACTCTGAATACTTCCATTTTGAGATACTTTGTTTGAGTAATGTCATTTAATGCTACTTTATACTTATACTCCATTTGAGACACTACATCTACACTACATCTTGACCTGACATGTTAAATTACTGGTTACGTTCCTACAACACAGTGTGTAGTACGGTGTATGATTAAATAAATAAATTCTCAACCTTTGAGTGATTTTAAAGTGATCACATGGTTTCATTTAAATAATTTTGCGAGATCTAAAGAGGTAAAAGTGTGCAATAAAGAGCAAAGATTAGAGAAAAGTCTGAAAATTTAATAAAAGTTCATCTCATGATCCTTTTAGATTCCTGGTGATAGACCAGATTGTCAGTGTTTTGCAGAACAAGTTCTTTTACTTTTCAAACTTTTAGAATATTTTGCTGTACTTCTGCCCTTTTACAAAAAGAGGAATTTGAATGCAGGACATCTACCTGTACTGGATCTGAGTACATCTTCTGCCACTGCATATAGGTCTATGTGCAAATCTATTCTATTCTGGTTAATGCCTTTTAAGACTGTGTATTCCAGTGTACACCGATTGCAGTCATTTCAAATAATACCATCAAATCGACACATACCAAGAATCACTTAATATGTTGCACACACCTTGTTGCCCACGTTGTCTAAGTACAGCTGGAACTTATTCTCCACGTCTCTGGACAGGTTCGTGCAGCTGTTTCTGATCTTCTCCATCTGCTCCTGTTGGCTGTCGCAGGTGAGGTGAAAGGTCAGCTGGTGGGGAAACAGATTGTTGATCTTGTTCAGGAAACCACTGGTCACCGTTTTGATCCCGTCCAAAGACTGGGCAAAGTCCTCTTTGCATTTCCTGGTTAAAAAAAAAAAAAAAAAAAGGAATGAGACAAATGTTTTAATGTTAAATCTTAATATTTTCAGTTATTCTCGTGGAGCAGATGGAGAAACACACAGTACCTGGTGTAGGTGGTGAGCTGCTCCTTCAGCATGGTGTTCTCCCTGCGCAGGGCGATAGCGTCCTGGTGGTGTGTGTCTCGGTCTTTGAGGGCGTTGTCTCTCTCCTGGCTCAGGTACTGAACTGTCTGGGTGAAGTTTGCCCCGATGAGGTTTATCATAGCTCTCTGCTGAGCATTGAGGGTCTGCAAAGTCTTCATCTCACCTGGAGAGATGAGTGGGAAACATTATAATCACAGGAAAACTCTGACAGCTTTACTTTTATTATACCATTTTCTAATAAGTCACCCTTTATTAAGTGTAGGCTAACTAATGGGGTTGTTAATGTTTAGTTTAGTAATGCTTGCAGATCAGTAGTTAGACACTGATAATGGTGAGGTCATCAATCAATGCTCAGGAGTTCCTGACTTCGAATAAGCCACCAACTCTTTCGATATAAATGTTAATAAGTAGTTGATAAAGAGTAATAACCTCAACTAAACCATCATCTAAATACCAGCGAGAGAAATTCTTCAAAACCCCAAAAGTTGTCCTTAATAATGTCTTGTAACTTATCTATAAAGCATTAGTGAATGATGTATTAACGTTTAATAAAGCCAGTGACTTTTACTGTACATTTATTATCATTTTACACATACATTCACTAGGTTTTTCACAATGTTTAAGTCTCCCAAAAAGTATAGAATATTCATGGACATACCGCTTGTAGTGACCACAGGAGGGGGCTGGATTGGAGGGGTGGGACGCCGCGCCGCCATCATGCTCATTGTTGCTGCTTTCATTCTCTCACAGTTAGACTATACATGAAAAAATATATATTTATTTCATTAACATAGCGACCAATAGTGGTGAAATGTAAGGACATATATAAATTAACCACAATACCTAAGCACACATGGGGTACTTGTAATTTGTTGTTTTTAGTTTACTTTATACTTTTCTTCCACTAAATTTTAGCAGGAAATATTTAACTTTTTACACCACTACACTTATTCTATGACTTAAGCAACTGCTCAAATTAACATTCTGTCCTATAGTTGGATAAAACAAGCAGCATAAAGGCGACAACTATGGTGGAAAATTTCAAGTTTTACATTAATCAGTGATCAAAAAAACAATAATTAGCTGCACATCAACCACTTACAAAAGTAAAATAATCTAAATGATACATGATAATAAATGACCTGCCTCTCTTAGCATGATATTAATCAAGTCATCTACTCACTAATTTATCGTTGAGTGTATACTCTGTGTTGTTGGCATCAGTCTTCAGCTTCGCCAACTCTGCCTCCACAGCAGCTTTCTCAGCTGTACGAGCTCCCAGCTGAGCTCCCAGCTCGCCTTTCTCCTTTCTCAGCTGGATGATGTTGTCACTCAGCGTGTTGATGTTCAACTCCAGCTCCTTCAGAGTAAAAGTCAGGTCGCTCAGCATCATCATCATCATCACCACTGTATTTAACAGCTTGTAACATACTATACACATGTATATTTTACTGTGTGTCAGACACATAACAGGCTGAAGATGAATCAAAAGCTGCTGCACATCTCGTTTTTTTTTTTTAAGTCAAATTAAGTCTCTATAAGTCTACTTCCACTTAAAATGTGTTTTACTTATTGTTCACTTTGAAGTTTTGTTATTTTCAGATAGTTTTGTACAGAAACTGTATCAGACACAAATTATTATACAGAGCTGAGTAGTTTTATACATCTTAACACATCTGGAGGGGGTTCTTCAATATCTCAAAAGGGTTATTATATGAGAAGAAATCACTGACCTCAACCCTCCTCTCCTCCGCAGACTTCTCTGGCTGTCCATAGATGAGGAAGAGCACAAGGCTGACGATAATCAGAGACTGGATCAGAGAGGAGAACAAGAAGACGGTCCTCATGTAGTAGCTGCAGCTCTTCCCTCTGGGCTTGTGCAGGGGCTCCCTCGCCTCCAGGCCAAACTTGGCCCGGGAGTAGCTGGAGCTGTACATGACTGTTGGAGGTGAAATGGTGGCAGCTGGTTCTGGAATATCTAAAGAGGAATTATTTTTTGCTACAAATCCGCAAGGTGGCTGTTCAGATGAGATCTTCTCTGTGGAGCAGGTGCTGAGGCTTCAAGGAGAATGCTGTCGAACAGAAGTGGAAGAAAAAACTGTGGTGGGATGTTTGTTCCTCTGTCTTCTATGGCTGTGCCACACTGTCAGGGAGCAGAACCATACAGGCACAAATGGCACGTATGGATGGATGTAAACAATGACCCTTAGGTGTGTGAGGGGGCCATGTTTATAAATGCTGCTGGAGGCACACTTCCAGTCCATCCTGACCAAACCCTCACCGCCCCTCTCCTCCCCTCTCCTCCCCTCTCCTCCCACATCGACCTCTGTCACACTTCCAGCTTCCAGCTGCACCGCTGCCCAAATTGTCAGAAATTTTCCTGGTGCCTGGAACAAAAGGAAATAGTTGTGGCCGCAACCGTAAGACTGAATAAAGTTTAACGATCCCCCTGCGACAGGTTTTTACTTATAGAAAATGACTCTGCTTGGAAGAAGATTTTGTGTCTGATGTCATTTTTCCCGCAAATGTTTGATAGGATTTTATAAAAATCTTCCTACTCTTATGTAAAAATCTAGACTCATGAATACTTGCTGCAGTTCTGCTTATCTTGTGTTCATGTGACCACCTAATTATATCAGAGAATCCATGCCATACAACTTTATGACTCATTAAAAATGGTCTTGTGTTTGAACATATGTGTAATTAAATGATAGGGTTGCATTTTTCCAAGTCTGTCTTAAACAATAATCAGGTGTCCATGTCTTCTCTTCCCTCTGTGTACACTGAAAAAAATTCTGCTTGTTGTCATCTTTCCTCATGTTCATACTGGCCATGAAAGATCCCTACTTAATGCGTCTCCAATGTGGGTGATGGAAGAAATCAACAGTCCTGTTTTGAGTTCAAATCTCCATATGAAGCTAATATGACAGTTCAGTCAAATCAAGTTACAGTCCTTTTAGAATTAAGTTTCCTCTTTGTGTTCCCACAGGCAGTGTTCCTGCTGAACTGTTGTGGAGGCATAGTAACAAAAAGAGTGCATTCCACACTAAAAACACAGTAACTTTGGCATAACACCCCCCTGGTTCATCTACAGGGTGTCTATAGGTTAGGTAACAGCTCACAACAACAGTTAAGTGCGAGTATAAAGTAAGACTACAGTCATTTGTTTGTAGGTTTAAAGATTTGAAACATCAGATATGTAGACTAGAAAAAAAGGATGGATTAAAATATTAATTTAAAAAAATATTTGTGTCAGTTAAGACTCACAAATTCAGATGTTAGACCATTTAATGACTTTTTATTGTTTAAAAAAATGAATTTAAGACTTTTTAAGCACCTGTAGACACCCTGGTTTCATTTAGACGAAGCCTCATTTGATCTTCAGCTCAACTTTAGAAGTCATGTGTACACAGTGTGATGAGCTTTGGTCCCTTACATTTACAAAACTTCTTTAAATGTACATATAAGCATATGACTGTTGTATTAAGATAGATTTTAAGAATATGAACCCATCCTTTAATGTACTGCAATCAATACAGTATGACCATATGATAAACACAGCACTGTGGTGCGGTGGTTACCGTTGTCGCCTCACAGCAAGAGGGTTCCTGGTTCGAATCTGGGGTGGGGGAGCCCTTCTGTGCAGAGTTTGGGTGGGTTTTCCTGGGTACTCCGGCTTCCTCCCACAGTCCAAAGATACGCAAGTTAACTGGTGACTTTAACGTGGTGTGAATGGTTGTCTGTCCAGGGTGTAACCCGCCTCTCGCCCAGTGTCAGCTGGGATAGGCTCCAACCCCCCGCGACCCCCAACAGGATAAGCAGTTATGGAACGGAAAATTAATGAATGAACTACACTCCCATTAAAGTCCTGCATCCCAACTTGACTCATCACCCTATCAGCAAAAAAGTATCAAGAGTGATGCCAACTGAATTACTATTACAGATGGATTAACCCGACGCAGGAAATGCTGAAAATGGTCAAGATCGAGCTTCTTTTAACTACCTTACACCTAAATACTTTTGGGCAAGGCAGGATTATCAACCAGCAAGGAGCCAACAGGGGGCCCAAACTCAAATTTGCCCCAGGGCCTGTTCACAGGTTAATCCAGGGAGGCTGCTGGTATTTTAACCTATAATAATGCATTGTACTTTTTTAGATAACCATATTTTTTAATGTAAAATCATGACAAAAAAGTAACTAGTTACTGTAGGTGGTACAATGTACAGTATTACCCTCTGAATTATAGTGGAGTAGAAGTGTAAAGCAGCATCAAATGTAAATAGGTGTATGGAGGTGTGATGCATTCACTTGAGAAAGAAAAAATGCTTAATTTTCTGAATTAACAATATAGTAATCATGATAATTAAAAAAAAAAACAGAATCCGCAAACTGAAACTAAACTGAGTACATTAGGCTTTCATAGAAGTATCTCGCATAAATGCAGTTATTTTCCACCAGTCTGCTCGTAATATACGAGAAAGGACAGATCATCCAATTTAGCTAAACATAGCTTCTAAAGAATTTGTGATAATATTCCCCTGGTGGCAGATGAACAATGTAGGCTATGTGAGGAGTAACAGCAGAAAATACAAAAAAAAAAAAAAAAAAAAAAAAAAATCCACCATATCCTGTCCCAAGCAAGCACGGAAAGGAGGCATGGCAGTGGAGGAGTGAAAGAATGAAAACAATAGGGACCTGTCATTCTTCAGGGATGAGGGAATAACAAATTCTCTCTGCAGTACAGACACACTGGACCCCCCACCCCCGCCCCGCCCCGCACTCTGTTATCTGCGGCGATGACGTAGGAACAGCCGGCTCTTCTGCTGAAGTGTGTGAAAGGTGAAAGGTCCTCTGAGCCCGGTGTTTTCCTGCTCCCCCATTGTCTCCCTGACAACCTGTCTTCACCGGAAAAAAACTAATTTACGAAGGTATGTTAGAGTGACAGAAAATGAGTGACTATCAGGAGTCAGGACAGACATTGGATCAACCTCTGAACAAAAACAGGAAACCAAATGGTTGAGGACTGAGATAAAAAACACCTCTTGAGATACGCGACCAGACACATCGAGGGTAACAGGAAAATTTGCCATTGAAGTTATATCCATGCCATAGGTAGATAACAGATAACGCTGCTGTGATAACTGTTGAATCGTGCTGTCAAACAGGCCTGTAGATTCAGAATTTATAGTGCCACTGATAAGAAGCTTGGCAGCGAAGACATCTGGAGATTTAATGCAGCAAAGTTTAGTGAGATAGACAGACGATCAAAGCAGAAAATATATCAAAACTGACACTTGTGTGTATATATATATATATATATATATATATATAATGCAAATCCCCTCAGCAGCTTTATGACGAGGCATTTCAATCTGTCCATATCTCCAGAGGGATTCTGCTGCCACCTCCTGACAAAAACGTAGAAAGCACGTATGAACATGAAAAATATGATTCCACATGCCGTTTTTTAATATCCAGAAACAGCTTCAAAAAGCTCATCTGTACAATGTGTTTCAAGTGCAGTTAAACTGGCAGTATGAGGGGCCTTTTTCACAATCAGTCCGTTGATGCTACAGAAATCAGTCAAGAGAAGCCACTGCTACACTGACCAAAAGCTTAAAGACACTTCCGTTTGTTTGCTCCAATTTTTTACAGGTTTAAGTTAAAGATCCAAGACTTTTTTTTATTAATTTCTCTCAAATTTCATTCAGAAATTTGTCATAACTTGTGTTAGTGAGCACTTCTCCTTTCCATGATAATCCATCCACTTGACAGGTGTCACATATCAAGATGCTGATTAAACAGCTTCATTCAGGTGTATCTTGGGATGGTCACAGGAAAATGACACTAAAATGTGCAGTTTGATCCCACTACATCATAACACAGATGTCACAAGTTTTGAGGGAGCATGACATTAGCATGCTGACTGCAGGAATGTCCACCAGAGCTGTTACCTGAGAACTGTTCATTTCACTACTATAAGTTGTCTCCAATAACTTTTCAGTGAATTTGGCAGTACATCCAACCAGCCTCACAACTGCAGAAGTCAGTTACGATGACAAAGCGCTGTCAGGTCATGACCCTTTTCAGGGATGATGAGCATGCAGATGAGATTCCTTGAGACGGTTTCTGACGGTTTGTGCAGAAATTCTTCAGTTACGCAAACAGCTGTTTTAGTGGCTGGTCTCAAACGATCAGACATCTTTATCCAGAAGATGAAGATGCTGGATATGCAGGTCCTAAGCTGGTGTGGTTAATGTGGTACGTGGTTGTGAGGCTGGTTGGATGTACTGCCAAATTACTGAATACAACACCGGAGACAGCTGATAATGGTAAGATGAACATACAGTTGGCAGGCAACAGCTCTAAGGGACATCCCTGCCGTCAGCATTCCAATGACACACCCTCAAAACTTGTGACATCTTTGACATTGTGTTGTGTGATCAAACTAAACATTTTAAAGTGGCACCTGACGATCTGTGGCTGTGCAAGGAGATTTCATTGATTCCAATTTTAACGTGGCCTTTTATTGTGACCATCCCAAGGCACACCTGTGTAGTAAGGATGCTGTTTAACCAGCATCTTCATATGCGACACCTGTCAGGTGGATGGATTATCATGGAAAGGATAAAGTGCTCGAGAGAAATACATCAAGAAATATACTGAGTGGATCAAAAATGTCTTAGCAATTTAACGTAAATCTTTTAAAGATAGGAGTTAAAACAAATGTTATGCGTTTAAATTTTTGTTCAGTGTACATTATTGTACATTCTTTCATTGTCTGTGTAACATAAAATAGTGACAAATCAACTAAAGATTGAAATCAACCCCTTATAAAATAGAAAATACATCAAAACAGGCAACAAAGAGTGGAAACTAACAAAAAGGCAAGGCAATATTACAGACGTTCTGACCTCTGTGATACAGTACATCATGTTACGGTTCATTACTTCAAAGAGTCAAAAGGCCAGTTATAGAAAACTGTCACAGGCTTAATTTGATTTCACCATTTAAGACTTAGAGACAGATCAGTGCAGTCTATGATTTGAAAGAAAACAAATGGTGAGGGAGCGAGTTTAACAAAGCCTGATGCTTTAACCATCTTCTTTTTATTCGATCTTAATCTTCCTCTTCTCCTGTCCTGCTCCTGAACTCTGTTGACTTCCACTTACTCATCCCCAGGATGGCTCCAGTAGGTTTACAGCTAACAGCCGCATCATTTTATTACTTCCGCTTACAACAATGGATGACTCATTATTCTTTTATCGAAACACTGAGTTAATGGAAACCTGCTGAAACCTTCATGTCTCTTTAGAACCATGTCTGGTTTTCCCAAATATTCCTACAAATTATTGCTCTTCAGCAGATAATGGAAAGAACTCTCGGTACTAAGGTGTACTTGGAAAACCACTTCCTCTTCCTAATAAACTACAGTGTGTGAATTTCACAGAGAAACAGGGAGTTATGGGTGTGTCCAGTTTTACACCGTTGCCTCAATGTCCTGGGGGTCTTCCCCCTCCAGCAGGCTGTAAGACGCGTGGCTCTGGAAAGGTCTTTGCAAAGGGTGAGCAAGAAGTTTGGCCATGCAGTTGTGCAGCTCGATGGCGGGGCCGCCCAGGGAAACCTCAAAGCGATAGCACATGCCCTTTGAGTCCAGGTTGCAGAAAGAGGTATAGTTGTCCTGGAGACAGAAAACATGCAACATAGTTGAAATGCAGCATCGAGGGAGTGTGTGAGAGGCTGTTACATTCAAGTGTGTTTTCACAACCTCCCTCCACAGTGTTCGGGCTTAATAAGATGGACAGCAGTAATTAACTGTAGATACAGGAAGGTGCAGAGCCACCAAGCCAGCCCTCCCTATCAAAAGCTGTCCATCACTTTCAGTGTCTCTACTATCATGTATGATACAACATCTGTGCTAAAGTTAACAGGTCTCATTCATGAAACATCAGCACAATGACTCCTTGTGTCCTGCTCCTGAACTCTGTTGACTTTTACTTACTAACCTCATCCCCAGGATGGCTCCAGTAGGTTTGCAGCTAACGAACGCATCATTTTATTACTTCCACTTACAACAATGGATGACTCATTATTCTTTTATAGAAACACTGAGTTAATGGAAACCTGCTGAAACCTTCATGTCTCTTTAGAACCACACCTGGTTTTCCCAAATATTCGCTGCATAGATCAGCCTCTCATTGGGCGGAACGAGCCACCCACTGAAGTCCCGCCCTACCACCTCCGGTTGTGTAGCAGTTTTCAACCGTTTTCAACACGTCCTTTACTAACTTTTGCAGTGTTTGATCTTGCGGGGATGTAGCCATTTTTCTGCCATGGTTCGCGTACTGTAGGCGATATTTTTCTGGGCTTGTTACACTAAAACCTGTTTCCCCCCAGCAATATTTTTGCAAGCGCACCGTTGCTGTGGCACCGCCCAGAACGATTGTGATTGGTTGAAAGAAATACAAGCAGCCGGGGCGTTTTTTTCTCCAATCTTAAAGTGAGAGTCGGCCCAGCCAGACCTTTCTTTTCTTGAGAAAGGTCTGGTGAGCGAGACTAACCTGTGCCTGTCACACCACAAATAATAAAATAATAATGGTCACTGGCTATTTGTGGTCGGGGATGTAAGCTAATTACTAACAAGCAGTGCGCTGTCAGTTTGGGATTGTGCCTACAATCGAATTCGAGTTTTCCAATGCGTTCATGAATATGGTGTAGGTTTTTAGAGCCAAGGTTTTTTATGTGCAAATCTACTCACAGATTTACTAACATTTCATGAATGAGACCAAATATGCCCAGTAAATCTTGTAGCTCATTATGTTAATGTAACAAATATTAGGGTGAACTGTAAATCCTCGAGGGACGGTTTTACTATAAACCTTTGGGTTTTCTTACCTGCCCTGTACAATATGTTGTGTTTGTTGTTGTGTCCCTCACTTCCTTTGTTCTATAAAATAAACATGAACTAAACTAAATCACAGCCACAGTCCATCTCTATTAGCCTAATTGGTAAGAGAACTAGGTTAACTAGCTACATAACACATAATACTATATTATAATATAGCTCAGCATCTCTCTATGGACAAGAGGGACGTCAAAATGTATTATGTAGTAACATGAAATATTACAAGGTCAAGTCAAAGAACTCCCACTGTGACCTTCAGTGTGTTCTGCAGAAAGGTCTCTAGAACAGTCCAGACAAAAGTTAGTACTGATACTAGACACTAATGATACACCAAACAAAGTTGAGCCACAGCACACATCCTGGTACACAGTCCACATTAATCACTGTCTCTTCATCAGCTGATTCACTCACCCTCCAGCTGGTCTCATCCCCCTGCTCCTCCACCCCGTTGTGTAGGTAGACCACATCGAAGAAGAAATATGGAGACTGCAGCATTTTCTGTGGCAGGACACAAGAACAAGCAAGTCTTTCACTTGACTGTACAATAAATGCAAACATACTAATGGAGAACTAGAATTACTGCCTCATGGGTTTATGCCCCCTCCAATCAGTCAAGTTGCAGTCACAGTTTACATCCATGTTTATCCAGACTCCAGCATTTAATGGAAAGGTATTTAAGTGTGTTTTTTGGTGGAATGGAGGTTAACATTATACTGATGTGTGATTTCGAGTGAATAATGTCCAGTGAGAAACATGTTGTCTTCATTTAGAGATTATTTCTGCAGAGGAGCACAGAGGGCTAATAGAGAGCATTGTCACATGGTGTGACGACAAACACCTGAAGCTAAATATTAGCAAAACCAATGAGTCTGTGGTGGACTATCAGAGGAACAGGAGGCCTCCTGTCCTGGTTGTCATCCAGGGAGAGGCTCATACAAGTACCTTAGAGTCCAAAAAATCTGGGGTGGACTCAACACTGAAGCCCTTTGAGGCAAATGTTTGATTAGTGATATAGGGATATATGAATATAATTAGTTTACGTGACTTTGTCAAGTTTTGTGTTTCTTGTGCCACTGATTGTCGATGAGTATGTAAGTTCATTGAGAGATACAAAAAATAGAATCAGATTCCTTGTACGTGTTCACATGCTTCGCCAATGAAGCTGATCCACAAAGCTGTAGCCATGACAGGAGATAATGCTTCAAATAAGGATGTTGCTGCAAAGAGGCTCCATATTCTAAAACATGGATGCTTCACACACATCTTCAACCTGAATTATGGTGTTGAATAATGGCCAAAAGAATATATTTTGCAGAACATTATGATGTCACGGTATAGTTTACTATTGACCTTTTGGATATGAAATGTCATTATTGATCAGTTTATTCTATTAGACATTTGTTTGAAACGTTGTCATAATCAGCGTATGAATTAGTTATGGCCAAAACTTGTAGTCAGTTCATCATTGAGTCCAAATGGACAATAATGCCAATTTTGAAGAAATTCCCTCAAGGCATTCTTGAGATATCACTTTTACAAGAATGGGATGGATGGATGGACAACCCATAAACATAATGCCTCCAGTCGCGGCTGTCACCAGCGTGGAGGCATAAAAACCATTTCAGAAGGGAAATAAAATTCACATTAAAAAGAAACAAATGCACCAAATACAGACTGGATATCTCAGCAGGTCTCATACTTACACTAACAGTCTCTGAAGGGTTGAACTGAAGCTGTCCAGCATGACGACTATAGATGAGCACCGTCCGCACCACATATGGAGGAGGGATGGTCTGAACATTGTCCATCGATGGCAGCTCGATCTTCTGACGACTACGAGGACAACAGAACAAAAGATGACCTTCAATAAACACTTCTAATGTTTGATGTATTTTCAGAGACCAAAAAGGTTTATAACAAGAAAGAACTTACATTACATTAAGAAGATCTTCCAAGTCTACAGAGGACAGTTAAGGCTAAAACGTAACAACTAGAAATTAGTTATTGTTTATTTTCATTGTTTTTTTTCAAGAGTTTGCTTTGAATGAAAGGATACTGAAGGTCTCACACACATTCGTCTCAAGGTCATACAGACAGCTGCACAGCTCCCTGGGGTCAGAGGTGAAGCCTGACAACTGAGACACAAACCAATAAGAGAAGAAAGATGAGAATATTCCAGAAATCTGTATATAACATTTGGAGTAAATAAAAACTTCTTGTACTCACCCAAAGAGCGTCGTCATTGACTACTACAAGGGCAAACTCATGGCGTTTGTCAATCTTGTGTTTAGTTCTGACAAACATCTCAATCATCTTCTGAGAAATGTTCAGGGCATTCGTTTTAGACCTAAACAGAGACAGTCAAATCAGGCAGTGATGACAAATTAAATACAAACAGCGTATATTAAAGATTTACTTTACTGAAGCTTACCCATTAAAAGACTCCAACTTTGGCAAAGACATCTCTTCAGAGAGGTCTAAGCAGATGATCTGTCATGAGGAACATTAGATAGGATGAGCCTTATGGCGAAAATAAGTCTTTTTACATGAAACATAAATCAGAGGTATAAAGTGAGCTTACCACTTTCTCTGGACAGTTGACACGAGGGACTCTGAGCTGGTACTCTGCTGGTGGAGGGATGGGGGTTGTCAGTGTGGGCTGCTGCTGTGTGGGCTTCGGCCTTTCTTTGGCTGCAACAGAAGCAGTGGATAGTGGCACCGGAGAGCTGGCTGCAGCTGCTGCTGCTGCTGCAACTGCAACAGGGGCTACAGTCTGAGCTGCAGCTGCTGAGACGGTTGTGGTGGTGGAACTGGGAGGACTGTCGCTGGTTGAAGCCTCACCCTCGCCCTCAACACGACTTCCCACAGCGGGCTGAGATATGTTGGGGTTACTGTTTCCTCCAAGGCTGCCCGTACTGCTGCGACGGTCCTCAGCACCTTCGGGGTTGGAGCGTGTCCGAGGACGCAGCTCCACCAGACGCTCCTCTCCATCTGCTGGGCCTGGCTCTGGCGTCTCCATGGATACACAGATTGCTAAGGAAGAGGGGATGAGTTTGGCTGGCCATGACGAAAAAATATTAACTCATTTGTAACCATAATTTCTTTTACATTAACCTGTGGTTGGCATCCACTGATATTAACCAATTAATGTTTAGACATGTGTTATGCCAAAATCTGTGGCTCATCAGATATCATGACCCAAACAAATTTCAGCTATGTTGCCACAGTAAATGTTTTCTTCATACTTTATCACATACTATATTATGGTATATATCGTATTCAGCTAGGGACAGATATAAGATACACAGAGGCTCCAAACAGTAGATTAGCTGCTGCTGAAATCACTAAGGGCTCTGGTAAATTGTGACACACTACTTGCTCAATAATCCGATTTCTGATTCTGAGTTTTATTGACAACTTATACACCGATGAGCCACAACATTAAGACCACTGACTGGCTGGTAAAGTAAAGCACATCTATCATCTCATTACATTGCAATGTTTGGCTGGAAAACCTTGAGTCCTGGCATTCATGTGGGTGCCACCTGACACTGTTGCAGACCAAGTTCCAAGCAGGACAATGCACCATGTCACACCACAACATGACAAAGAGCTCAAGGCATCAACCTGGCTGCCAGAGTCCCCAGATTCCAATCTGATCAAGCATCCATGGGATGTGCTGGTACTCCACCTTATAACTGGCAGGTCTCAAAGGATCTGCCGCCAACACCCTAGTGCCAGACACCACAGTACACCCCCTAGAGGTCCTGTGTCTGTGCCTCCACAGGTCAGAAGCAAGTTTAATCCAATAAGGTCCCACTGTGGATCTGGGGTACCTCTGGGGTCCCAGCACATCCCACAAATGCTCAAGCAGACTGGGATCTGGGGAATTAGAGGCCAGGTTGATGCCTTGAGCTCTTTGTTGTGGCATGACACATTGTTGAGGGGGCCCACTGCCACCAGGGAGTGCCATTGCCATGAGGGAGGGGTAATATGTCGCCAACAGTGTTTGAGTGGGTGGAGTGTTCTGAGTGGTATTCACATGAAAGCCAGGATCCAAGGTTTCTCAGCAGAACATTGCATTGTAATGAAATCAGTGTCATTCACTTCACTAGCCAGTGGTTTGTATATTTTGGCTGATTGTATGCTCATACAAAAAAATATTGTATTGATAAACATCCCTGATAGCAACCCTTTTGATAACAACTGTCAAATACAATGTGTGGCCATGATAACAAGATTTGCAGTGGTGACATAGCTGAAATGTCTGATCAGGTTTTAAACTCTGACAGGTCCCAGAACACTTCTATACCGTCTATAAATCTTAAAAAAAAGAGCTACTTTAAAAGTTGAAACCAGATCGTACAATGGGCACAAGAAAGAGTCTCAGAACTAACCCCACTGTCTGTATTAACTTCGTATTTCTAATTTCAAAATCACGCCACTAAGTTACATTTAAGCTGCGATTCTGCTCTTACTGACGCAAAGTGCAGCTTGCAGCTAACTGGAATAACAAGCACAGAGGTGTTTTCTCTTAACAATATAGATGATTTAGCTTTAAATGCATCGCTCAAAGCGTACAGAAAGACAGCATGCAGGTTAGCTACAGATGTTTGATGACAGCGCAGTAGCAACGAGAGCTGTTCGCATTAGCTTCAAGAGAAATTAGGGCAAAGCAAATTACTTAAGACGTATGAAATTTTTCGTGTTAAAATGTGTAAGTAGACTTACTTGACAAGTAACTGCGAAACCTCTACAAGTCAAATAGTTTGAAAAGTCATTCAAAGTTGTAAAATGTCTCAACGACGAGCTAACATTTGTTTTGATCGGACAACTTCCTTACCGGAAATGATCAAATCCGGAACTGCAAAGAGTCAGTGCATTGTGGGTAATGCAGTTTGATAAGAAGGGTGCGTTTATTTTGCCTCTTTTTTTGTTTTCTTCTTCTTTGGGAGATTGTGGTGGCAATTATAGTGGTAAAAACAATATTTGCAGCAGGTAAAATTTAGTCCCGAGCAAGTAATTAATAATGATAATAATAATAATAATAATAATGATAATAATAATAATAATAACAACAACCAGTAACCAGAAGCCAGTAGCCACCACAATAAGGAATATAATAAGGAATTACTTATTTATTCTCTGTATATATCATATCTGTATCATATATCTTATATTTATATTTTATACCCTGTGTGCTCTTTACCCTGCCTGTGTGCTGCTATCCAGTGCTGCTGGAATCTTAATTTCCCTGAGGGAGTCTTCCCAAGGGATTAATAAAGTTCTATATAATCTAATCTAATCTAATCTAATAATGATAATATAATAATTTTGATTTTTATGCGTCTTCCAAGACACTCAAGGACAATAGATAGAGAAAATAACAGATCAATAACAACAGATAACAACAGATTAATAAAGTCAACGAGAAGATAAGGAATGGAGTAACATAAAATAAATAATAAAAATAATAATAAAATGAGCACTAATCCATAAATACCAAGCCATTTTTCATAGAATGATTAATTAACACATCTTCATGCAGTAATATGCACTACGTTCTGATACATCGTCCACTGTTCTGGCTGATGCACAAAGGCTCACCAGGCTAAAAAATATTGTGCGATGTATCTCTAGATTTAAAACACAACCCTACTGTACATTAAAAGGAAACTGGAGATCAATATATGATCTTGTATAATTCATGTTTGGTTTTAGGTGATCACCTGTTAGCATGGCTACATGAATACAGCAGGCACTAACTTTGCAGTAAACAAAACACAATTCAACATGTCTCTCACATCAATCCCATGCTCCAAAATGATTGTAACTTCATGCATTTTCAAATTACACAACATAATAGTACATGCTTCTATGTCAAAAAGGCATGGAGGCTAAATGTGGACAAAACAGGAAAGGACACAAAGTGACGGGGACTGGGTGGGGATGACTTTGTGAGTGTTTTCCACTTACTTCACTCATCACACTAAACACTGTTGGGGCAGACATGCGGAGAGCAGATTGCAGCAGTGACTGGAAAATACAATAACATAAAAATACTAGGACTGAGGAACATATACTCTCATTTTGTCAGATGTTTTATTTTTGGCAGTGAAGAGCTACAACAGGGACTAAATCACTGCTGCAGGCATCAGGATCAAGGATCATGGAGGTAGATGATGATGAAGTGTTTCAGTGTTTGTCTTGAAAACATTTGTCTTATACTGGGTGTTGTATGAATCGGAGGATGACATGTTTACTGTGTAAACTTCACAAGTCTGTAAAACTGTTGTTAACTTCAAGCATGTCGTCTGTGAAAATGCTTGCTAATGCAATTAAGATATGAATGATTATATAGAGTTACATCATTTTGCATTGGCATTAAACCAGATTTAACCATAGTGAATCGGAGCAGAATGTTTAATGAGTAATACTGCCGACTAAATGACATCAGTGTATTGTACATGGTCATTAGAGTGATTTTCTTTCCACATTCAAAACCTCTGATGAATTTGAGACTCTAAATTGCCAGAGATTGTGTACCTGAGTGTTTAGCTGGTGACCTGTCCAGGGTGTTTCTATGCTTTTTGTTCAGGGTGTGCTTGGATAGCCTTCCTGTGACTAGGAAGTATAGGAAGAGGTGGATATAGTGGATGTACTGGTGGCTGGATAAGGAATTTTAAGTATGTCGCCAACTGTCCTCTGCACAATATATGGCACAATTCACACAGCAAAAAGACAGGATGGCAAATTATATAATTTGAGCGTGTTTATAGGCATCGTATCAACTTTACAGGAGATTAAACACTTTGTTCTAATTTAATTTATCCGACATTCTTTGTGCAAAACAAAAGATGGTCTGGTCCACAAATATTTGCAAGGCAGGAAGTCGGATCTCAGGATGTTTTAGTTTCCTCCTTTTCCGCCACTCAAAACAATAGTGGCTAAACAGCGCAGCGACAATGTCTGGTTCAAGAGCATAACACATTATTTTGCTCAGTTTAATTATGAGCCACCCTTTAATGGAGGATGATTATTATCAGGCAGGAAGAGCACACACACCATGTGTATTATATTTGTGTAAATATGAGAAGAATTGAGGGGAAAATAAGAAATTTGCTACAGTAAAACACTAAAATAATGACTCAGATATGTTGTCTTACAATCCACAACAACTTAATGTGTCTGCAGGATTCTTGCCTGGTCCGATGTGACAGCCTGGATGCTGGGTCAGGGTGTGACAGAGAGGTTTTGACCCCGATCGATCGTATGACCCTTGACCCTGAGGGCTCTGACCCCTCAGCAGACCTCGAGCCTTCACCAGCAGAACTGGCTCAATGTGAGGCCGAAGTGGGCACGCTGCTCAGCATCATTGCTGAACTGAACAAGAAGATGGGGTCATTAAAGGCACCAAGGTAACGTCAGTGAAGAGTAGATGTGCGATTTATGAAACTATGAAGCACTGACATGAGGCATAACATTTATTTAAATGGATAGTAAACATTTTTGTGGAACCATGTTTGTTGTAGATATTTTCCCATCAGTGAATAACATATTGGTCTGCTTGTAGCTTGTCTTGAAATGAACACATTGGTATTTACTGGCAAAAATGTTGTTGGTATTCTGCAGTGAATCAGGAGAACTGAGATCACCAGGACCATCCAGGCCTCTGGTTCCAGACCTCCTGTCCCACAGGCTGGTCAGGAGCAGCCCAGAGAGGAACTCTGCCTCTGCTGTCACATCTAAACCTCCACTGGCTGACAGAGGTTGGCATCAACACAGTTCACATAACATTGTCTTAAATCAGTAGAATGCATTTTTTGGATGTTTTAATCCTGTACTGAATGTAGGTGGTCTTTACTCCAACTATGACAAACAAGCTGATGTTTTTAAATATTCACCCTGTAATCTGTAAAAGACAGGAAGTTATCTTGATGGAAAAGCAAGAAACTTCTATATCATCACCACGTTTATGTCTGGTAGAGTGTGAAAATGCCTTGCAATACATCTGAGAGGATTAACTGCACTGATACTTTTCATGCACTAGGGGGTGGTGGTGTAGTATGGACTAAACTCCAGGAGGTTTTATCATCAGTGGAGGACTCCATTAGTTCTAAAAGGTCCTGGGCCGCCCCCATTACAGCTTCTGACCAGGACAAGCACAGAGAGCACCTGAGAGCAGCCCAGGAGAGCTCAGTTAAAGCCACTAAGGTATTTAAACTGTAATAAACTCCCATTATACTCTGATGTATTTGAATTTGTATTATTACAGCTGTAGATTCCAATGACAAACTAATGTTAGATCAAAGTTATACAAATGTAAACAATTTAAACTAATACATTTTGCTACTCTTTGAAAGCATAAAGAGACCAAGCATTGCTATGTCTGTCAAAGTTCTGATGGATCATTTTGGGAGAAAAATATGTCACTGTTCAGGCTATCTTTATACTCCCATCAGCCTCTTTAGTAATTTTGGCTCACTGGTTGCAGATACTGGAGGAGATGGAAATAGAGTTTGGGATTTCATGTCCACCAGGCCCGCCAAAGGACCAGTATCAAGAGAACATCCTGGATCCAGAGAAGCGAGACTCTGCTCTCAGAGGCAGCTTGCAGAGTCACCAGGAGGAGCTGGAAAGAGCAGAAAGCACCATCAGTCAGATGGAGGAGGAAAAGAACAAGGTGGGAAAGAGGGTTTTGTTTATGACAGGGGTAAAGCGAAATATTAAAAAAAGCCAAGAATATGAATTAACTTAATAAGTGTGAGTACATAAACACTATATATTTTGGTAAGTCAACACAACTCATGAGTTCAGACAATAGAAATAAATGTAGTATCCCTTCTGTTGTCTTTCAGTTGGCCGGTCTCCATAAGGCCTGGAGGTCAGGCAGTCACTCTCCTTCCTACCGGCCCCCTGCTGGGGCTCTCAGTCCAGACTGGGCCTCTCCTCCCTTCCCAGGTTCACCATTACTCTACAGAAGAGCAGCCAGAGCGATGACACCTGTGTCTGTGGGTGGGGAAGGGTCTCCAGTGGGCTCCATTAACTCATGCAGTCCCTGTCCTAGCCCCATCAGCCTGGAGTCTGAGACAGAACGACTGAACAGGTGAGTCTGAGGAGGAGCTGTTTTGGATGTTTTAATGTAGCAAAAAACTGCTACATTGCACTGTCGGAACTTATATTATATTCATTGAATATCCAGTCACCTTGTGAGGCATTTAACATTGCAACTACAGTAAGTCAGAGGTAGTAACAGTGTGTATTTGTTTCTTTGTCTGTGTACAGGTGTGCAAAGATCGTTTTTTGCATGACTTGCTCTGTAAAAACTGTATCTATATAAGAGAACATTTGACCTGAGCTTCTGAACAGGAACATTCCATTAAACAAAGACAAAGGTGCAGACAGGACACTCACACACATGCTTTGCAGAGCATGTGAAGAGGAGTGTGAGTTATTAAGATATTGGCAACATATCTGTATATGGACCAACCATCTCTCATATATAGAAGCAAGCACACAGACTTTGTGGTGGTTTTGCCTCTTTTTTTGTTGTTGGTGTTGTTTCTTGACTTTCAGTAGTTGTTGTGAATCTTTTTGTGGTTTTGTGGAAGTTTTGTGTGTGGGCATGTGTCTCCTGTCTGTTTTGTGTTTCCTTGTGTTTTTTTGGGTCTCATTGTAGTCGTTGTGTGTCTCCTTGTGGTCATTCTGTGTCTCCTTGTAGTCATTTTGTGTCTCCTCGTGGTTGCGTCTCCTTGTAGCTGTTTTGTGTCTCCTTGTGGTCATTCTGTGTCTCCTTGTAGTCATTTTGTGTCTCCTCGTGGTTGTGTCTCCTTGTGGTCATTCTGTGTCTCCTTGTAGTCATTTTGTGTCTCCTCGTGGTTGTGTCTCCTTGTGGTCATTGTGTGTCTCCTTGTGGTCATTTTGTGTCTCCTTGTAGTCATTTCGTGTCTCCTTGTGGTCATTTTGTGTCTCCTTGTGGTCATTTTGTGTCTCCTTGTAGTCATTTCATGTCTCCTTGTGGTCATTTTGTGTCTCCTTGTAGTCATTTTGTGTCTCTTTGTAGTCACTTTGTTTCTCTCCGTCGTTGCTTTGTTACTCCTTATGCTGTTTTGTGTCTCCTTGTAGTCATTTTGCGTCTTCTCATGATTGTTTTGGTACTCTTTGTGTTGTTTTGTGTCTCCTCATAATTGTTTTGTGTCTCCTTGTGGTCATTTTGTGTCTCCTTGAAGCTGTTTTGTGTCTCCTTGTGTTGTTTAGTCTCAGAGTAGTCTTTTTTTGTCACTCCTTGTAGTCGTTTTGTGTCTCTTTGTAGTCACTTTTTATCTGTTTGTGGTTGTTTTGTGTCTCTTTGTGACTGGTCTGACCATTTTTTGTATTTACTTTGTGTCTCCTTGTAGTCGTTTTGTGTCTCTTTGTAGTCACTTTTTATCTGTTTGTGGTTGTTTTGTGTCTCTTTGTGACTGGTCTGACCATTTTTTGTATTTACTTTGTGTCTGTTTGCAGTTCCTTTGTAGGTTTTTTGTCTCTTTGTGGTCATTTTCAGTCTCTTCCTCATTGGTATGGTTAATTTGAGTCACATTTTGCGGTAAAGGCCAGGGGGGGCCTCTAACACTTTAGGCCCTCTAGGCCCATTCAGTAATCCATCCATGCACAAACCAATACATTATATAGGTTAGCTAGCCAAGTGACTTTCCAAGATTCACATCTTATATGTTTTTCATTTACATTATGACTCAAAGTAATTTTGAATTGTGATTTTTGATAGCTACAACCTATTAAACCTATTTTGACCTTTTAAGATCAGGAAGGCAAGCTAGATAATGTAAGCTGACATGGCTACACTAAATATCTAAACAGCTAGACACCAGTTGGTTTAGGCTTGACTTGACCAGTGCAGTAAAACAGTTTCTTCCTCCACAGAAACTTCATTGTGTGTATACAATATAAATACAGTATAAAACTCTTTATGAAACAAAAGTTTCTGATCTTTGCTTTCTTATCCTCTCCCTCATTTTTCCAGGTGCATCGAGAGGCTGAGGGCCAGAAATGAACGGCTGACTGCAGCTCTGGAGCGCAGGAAGGGAGAGTCAGAGAAGATCAGTATTACACTGAACAGACTTGAAGCTGACTGCTCTGCCCTGCAGATGGCTCTCAGATACTGGTACACACATAAACCACAGCTGACACACAAGTACAAAGGCCATTCAAGGCCATTAAAAAATAATGAATGTGAACAAGTTATCAATCTAACAGCATTAATGTGGGTTCCTCTCATGCAGTGAGGTCGTATTTTGTCTTTGTGGTTGTGATTGACAGTGAGGAGTGTGAGGAGGCCTACAGCGAGCTGCTGTCACTTTATGACGCCAAGAAGCAGCAAAGCATTCCTCTGAAGACAGACTCAGCAGGTGTTTGAATACCATGGTTGAATACTGCCTAAACTCAGTGAACGCATTGACGTGTATACAGTAGGTATGCATGTCGTTCACATACACACTAAACACACAGTCAGGCTCACAGTTTTTCCTCTCGTCAGAGGCAGTCGGTGACAGGCAGCAGCCCGACAGGCCATCAGCTCAGCTCGTGAAAATGGGAACTGAAGAGCTGTCCACCTCCTTCTCAACAGCAGGGGTCACAGAGGAGACGGAAACACAGAGTCACACAGGGCAGAGGTGACGTCTGAAAGTGCTCTTTGTACATTCAAGCACAGTAATAGGAATGGTAGAAAGGAAAATATGTGTTGTTATTAATAGGCTGAAATTGGAAATAGTAAGGATAATATTTTACAAATGTATATTGTTCTGTCGAGCCAATGATGATGCTATTAACTAAATGTTTCCATGTTTCAAAGGCCATGTCTTTGACCACATTTTTGTCAGGTCACTCATTACCTGTAACTCCACAGGACACCTGAGCCGGAGGAGCGAGAGGCTGTTCTCCGACAGCAAATTGAGCGCCTGAAGAGGGACCGGGCAGCCATTCGTCTGCCTAAGCCGAGCCCAGGAGTAGAGGGTAAAATAAGCCCCGAAACTTGTCTCCCAGCTGGATCAAGAGGGGGACATGTGACAAAAGAGAACGCTAAACTTCCTGACACCAAGAAAGAAAAGGCTTCCCTCTTCTATGAACTCATCTCTGTCAGGGTAGGAGCTGTGTGTCCTAATTTATGATTGAAAAATCAAGATCTGAAGCTGGAAAAGAAAAAAACAGCCAAAGCCTTTCATGCAAAGAGATGAAGAGATACCAGTGGCTTTTGCCCTAATCTTATAGTTGTTACTGTTTGAGGCAAAATTTATATTGCACTACATAACACTACACTTACCACACAATGCCAAAACACAGTGTTTGGAGACATACAGTTTGTGCACAAGACACTGTGGGCATCTCATATATCCAGTGAGGTCATGGAGCACTGAGAGACCTTGAACTGGTGAAGCATTCATTAAAGTTTGACCTTTTGAACACTAAGATCAGAAACAGGAAGAACTATCTTGGCTCTGTCTAAAGGTACAAAATCCACCTACCAGCACCTCTAAATCTCACTATTCAATGTGTCATATCTTGCTAGTTTAAATTAAATTGTTAGCATCCTAAAGGGACAGCTCACCCCAAAATCAAACATGCAAATTTTTCCCTGTACCTGTGCTGTAATTTATCAATCGAGATTGTTTTGGTGTGAGTTGCCGAGCATTGGATATCTCTGTCCAGAAATCATGACTCGGTTGCTCAATATAATCCACAGACCATGTTGTGGGCAGTTCAATGTAGGAACTATTTTCTTTCTCCCGAACTACACCTGCCAACAGTACAGTATTACCAAGCAGTAAGAAGTGTACATCTACTGCTAGCTCACTTAGCACCACTGAGCTAGCTAATGTTACAGCTCAGCTGAGGAGGACGCCATTAATGTTTACATCTTGTGCTGTCACAAGCACAACCTTCTCGTCCATGAGTAGATGCACACTTCCTCCTGCGCGGTTATACAGTTGGTAGATGTAATTTGGTGGAAAGAAAATAGTTCCTACATGAAACTGCTCACAACAAGGTCCGTGGATTATCTTCAGTAAGTAGGTCATGATTTTCTGGAAAGAGATATTGCTGTTGAGTTTACCAGACATATTTTTTTCCACAATGAGCACCACAAGCCAAGTGCCATCTAGTTTTGTTATACTGGAGAGAAGGCAGACACCTCTACAGCCAATATCTCAAACACATGGCAACTCATACCAAAACAATCTAGCTTGATAAAGAGCACTACAGGAAAAATATGTATTTCTCATTTTGGGGTAAACTGTCCCTTAAAGGCACAAATATAATCCAAGCATTCACAGCTTGATTCCAGCTAGAGACCTGGGATATGCCAGGAATTGAATATGAATTTACATACATTGTTAAAAACTTAAGGTATCCAGTACCAATACAAAACCAATAAAGACATCATATAAAAAAGTCTACAGATTTGTGCTTAAACCTCACACAACAGCCTTAAAACTGGAAGCAGAACCTGCTGGTTATAATGAAATATCTATGTCTTGTGCTTCTGCCACTATACACATACAGCTTTTCATTTCTTAGCTGTAACTGTGTTTAACTCTTTACATGCTATGGTTTATGGTGAACTTTTTCAGGAGGAGATGTCAGATCTGCGAGCTCTAATCCGCCTCAAGGAGAAAGAGCTGAGGTGTTTGGAGTGGGGTTTAATGGCCCAGAAGGCCCAGGAAGCAGCTGGAGCGTTCGTTCCAGAGAGCCTCAGAGAGGAGACCGAGGACCATAGGACGGAACAACAGGTAGGCACGACTCCTACAGCTGCAACGGAGACTTTTTTTTAAATTTTCAAATAATACAAAGTCAAGGTGAAATGAGCAAGAGGGAGCAGGACGTTGGTCTACTGTGGCAGACCCGATTCAAATCTGGGTGTCCCACATGGGAAATCACACATCTACCAAAGCAGAATCCCTCCAGGCCAAGAGGGATATTTTGGTTCCACAAGGTCTTGTGCTGGGCTGTCCTGTAACTGCAGCACAGATTCATACCGCACCACACACCTCTGTCATTGTCAAATAAGAAAGTACTGAAAAGTGTGACACATATTTCTATTACTGTAGACACAGGGCATCTGAATAGTGCGCAGACTTTTGTGCCTAATGGGTTAAAATTTTCCCCTAAAACTTTTTTTTTTTTTTTTTTTGTCCTTAGCATCTCTTTTAATGGTTTAAAACAGAGATACTCTACTTGCTTTGCCCCGGGGCCATTTTTGCAGAATGACAGGAGGCCAGGGGCTGGTTAATAAACAAACATTAACAATATTTATCTGTTTTTATAATAAATTAATAACCCGTTTTCAATTTTTCAACGTTTGCTGTACACAGCAGTGTTTCTAGGAACTGAGTACATTCAGGCTTAGCCTAGACATCTGTCATGGAGTCTAAGGGATCCTCCCCTGGCACTGTTTTTTATGATCAAGCTCTATTTTGCTGCTTTTTTGTGCACTCTGGCACCTTATTTACATTCACTGTACAAAAAAATCCCAGTATGGATCAATTTATTGTCATTGTGAATAAACGGGGCCACCTGGCAACCTATCAATAGATTCAGTCCACGGGCCATAAGTTAAGTATCACTGGTTTAAAAGAACAAAGGTTTTATCTATACACACATCTGACTTTAACTAAGACTTTAACCTGTTTACTGTTTTGACAAAAATCGCAAAGCCATCCTATTGCAGCATAATGAATGTTATTCTGATCTGCAACATTTAGGTTCCCAACGTAGGGGTCTGGTCCCCACAAAGATAAATAAACCTGAGGGGTTGCAAGATGATTAGCAATATGGGCAATTAGAAATAAAAATATTTACACTCCACTAAAGTAGATTAAATCTAACTTTTGTTTTAACTTTTGCTGTTTATTGTAACACATTGGATGCATTTACCCTTGCAGGTCTCTAAAACCCATTCAAATGAAAATATCTGTGAGGGGGAAAAGTCTTTCTTTGATAAAACTGCTCACAACACTGTGACACTGCTTTAGATAACTGTCTATACTGTATATTCATTAATATAGAGTTACACAGGGAATGGCTTTTAGGCTTTAAAGCTAATTCTAACTGAATGTTGTGTTTCAGAGGCTCTGTGAAAATGCAGCTAAAGTGGGTAGTGATGGGGACATCACTGATCCTCGATCCAGACCCATTCTGAAAGAGCTGCAGGCCGTCCTGCAAAGGTGAGACATCGTCATTTTTCTGCAGTCCAGTGCTTAAAGCTGGAGTGCTGGACTTTTGTCTCCCCCTTTTGGCAGTGAGAGTAATTACACAAACACTGTAGAAGTGTATTTATGATGCGTGCCTGCAGGTGAGTGTGCCGCATTGCACCTGCCACCAGGAGGCTCTCTTAAAGTCTTCATGTGCAAATGTATGAACTTTGAAGCCTGACTTATGGTAGTGCACTCGATACTTTTTTTGAGTGTTGCTCGACAGAAATGACGTATTTTTGACAGAAAAAAGTGTCTCTCGACAGTTTTCTTTCATGTCACGCACCTAAAAAATGTTATTATGTCAAGGACAACATCATATTTTGTGGTGCATTGTGATTGGGTAGTGTTACTATTGTTGCCATGGAGATACTAGCTTTCACTTCACACCAACTCTGACCTGCATTTAACATCTCTGTCCACAGAGGCAGCCGTCTGTCAGCAGCGGCTCCTAGGGAGCTGAGAGGACAGCGGCTGGCTCACCAGGTTGACTGACAGCAGACATTTACTGAACTAAATATTTATTCATGTCAGTGCCACGGGAAAAAATCAACAGTGTTTTTATTATTTAAACCTAACGAGTGAGTTAATCAAAGTAGATATGTATATAATCAAAGTAGATATGGTTAATATATAAAAACACACATATACAGCAGGATATTTGTGTGATTTAAACAGACATCTGTGCAGATCCGCTTCACTAAACATGACAGAAGCAAAAAATGTAGGGACTCTGATTGGAAATGACACATAACTGTCGAGCATCACTTATCAAAAGTGTCGAACACCCAACGATTAATCAGGTTTTCTGTTTTATCTGGAGCAACCACTCCAGAAACTTTTCTATTATAGCTTCTGCCAGACTCCTAGCTGCTACATCGTTGCTATCTCTTTCCCCTTCCTGCCCCCTTTAGCTCTGGCTAGTTGACATAAAACACATCACTTAGAGTGTGCTAGTACAGGAAAGTCACAACAGACACCAGGCACCACAGCTCCAATACAGAGAGCTTTTCCTGGCGGCAATAGGCTTCATCAGGATTGTGTGAAGTTGTTCAGTAAGGGATTGAATGTAAAGGACTTCCATTTATATGTTAAAGTGCTGCAGTCCAGCTTTACAATGTGGCATTCAAACTGCAAAAGAAGGAGCTGATTTCTTCAGGTTCATGCATGAAAAAAAAGTCTTCTTACTGTAAAATACTACCAATAAAAGCACCTATTAGATGGCTTATACATACATACAATACATTTCAATATATTTCAATATTAGCCTTTTATCGTATTTTAACAAGGAAATCTGGTAACATATTGAATGTAATGTCAAATGGAGAAATCTGGGCTTTCACTGATGAAAGAAAAAATGTACCTGATGAATGTAACCACTGTAGAAAATGAATCATTCAGACATCTGTTGCCTGGTTTTATCTGTTGCTTAGGAACACTATCAGCAGAAATGCAGACTTTGGACATAAAGGGCTTTTTGTTGTCTCCATCAGGTGCTTCAGAGAGCATCCTTTTTCTCTTCTGACCTCGAGCAGTGAATACTTCTCAACAAAGCTCTGCTGTTAACGCTCTGCACAATATTTGCTCTGTCGTCAAGGACGCATCAAGAAGACATTTACGATTCTTTACATGGATCTGGTTTATGAGATGATCTTAAACAAAATGAAGGCACTGACATGATGTTTTTCCTTCTGTTACATCTGATCTTGCTTTTGTTTTCAGGGAACAAGCCCTGAAGAAGAGGCTGGCTTTAGTCCAAGACTCGCTAAACACAGCTCTGTCAGACAGCACCTCCCACAGGAGGGACAATGGAGACCAGATTGCTCGGCTCACACAAGCTCACAGGTAAGTATCACAAGAAAAGTCTTTAATAGACTGCTGCACATTTTTGTCTTTATTGGTCATCATCTGCTCCTGCATCTACAATCAAAGCTAGAAAACAATTACTTTTATGGTGTCATTGTTGATGTGGGTGTTTTAAATTTATCTTGCTGGGTTTCTTCCATTCCAGTAAAGCCTTGAGTTCGTACCGCCAGATTCGTAGGAAGTACCGGGAGCAGGTGTGGAGGCTGGAGCAGAAAGTGGCAGCCATGACGGAGAGTCACCACCACCAGAGTGGAGCTCCGAAAGCTGCAGGGGAGGCCTTGGAGTGGAGAAGGGAAGAGACTGTTCTGTGATCCTGTGAGTCTTCAGTCAGAGAATCAGCTTCATAATAGTCAAATGTATCCACATCAACTACAATGGACAGTCCTGATGAATTCAAGGCGCTCATGTGTGTTTTTGGATTTGTGAAGTTATTGAACCATTCTGACAGAAGCCTCTTCACTTCAGAATTACATTTTTCAGCCATGACAGCAGCTTGGCTATATGGATGGCAATGTCAGTCGATATCCATGGTGCCCAGAGGATGATTTTACGCCTTATCCTCAAGCACTACCAGGATTTGACAATTGTGGCTTTGAGTAGACGGATTTTCAGGACCGGGGCTAAAAGGGATAGGTGCTAAAATGAAACGCTTTAGACAGAGGGTGAGTACGGGTATATTCAGGAAGACAGTATGACGGAAAAAAACTTGTTTTTGGAGAATTAAAGCTTATAAACATGTTCTGGTAGAAAACCACAAAAACATGTATCAACCTGAAAATTTTTCATCTAAGCTATATCGAGTCTATATCGAGAACTGTCACTGTCCAGTACTTTGGCTTATGACCAAATATCTGCAAAACTGATGACATTCCCTCAGCCTTAGCTGTTCTCTGAATGCTAGCATGCTATGTACCAATCTAAGATGGTGGACAAGTTGCATTGACATTGTGAGCATGTTAGCATGCTGATGTTAGCATAAAGTAAATCATCAGCTGTGGCAAAGCCTCAGTGTGCATGCATGACTCTAGCATGACTGTAGACTCTTGGTCTTCTTAGTAAGATATATTATATGGTTAAAGGGCCAGTGTGTAAAATGGGTTGAAAACAGTAACATCAGTGGTCAAATTCTAGATTGCAGGGCTCACTCGCTCACCCCTCCCGTCGGGTAAATGACGGTGGCCTCGTAGGGACAAAAAGCCTTGCGCACGAGTTTTTCAGGAGTAGGTCTATCTAGCGACGAGGTGAATGTTTATTTAGAAATCTAAACCATGTTACTATATTGTAATGAATCCCTCACGAGCAGGAGACCAGAGTAGCGTTCGGGAAAAAGGCCAGTTTATTTGAGCACTCCAAAAACTCCGGTAACACTCCAGGGGGTAAAAGACTCCGTCCCAAACTCTGACTCTTCTGGCGTAACACACACACTCCATACACACATTCTTGTTTACAATACCTAGCGGGTACCCCCCTCCCCTCTGCTCCACCAATCTCCAGCCCGCACACTGACTGACAGCGTAGCCTGTAAACAGAGCTCAGCTGTTTATTTAGCCTAGCAATATCTCCGGACTATAGTTGCTGCAATGGACGACTTTGAACGCGATTTTGAAGAGTTTCTTGTAGCGGACACAGACCCAGAGCCATACCTGTTTGAGCCGGAGCATACAGATGAGGAACTCCATGTGTCTGATGCTGAGCGGGTGAGAAGAGAGGCTGAATGCACAGAATGGGATTCGGTGCTACTGCTACTATTGTTGGGGAGATATATCATCAGGAGGAAAAGCGCAGCAGAGAGTGCATCATAAGGAGTGAAGTTGCGTCTTCTTTTCCTCGCAGATGACGGTTCGGGTTCATTCTCTCCTGTTGCGTGGTAAGTGTGGTCCATTCACAAACTTTATAACTAAAAAAACTTTTCACTACTCTCTATTGACGAACTATTAACACTCTCTGCTGTTTCCTCCTCCTTCTTCCTTCCTTCCGCTGTCTTCGTTGGTTCATTTATACACGCAAAACGCGTTCTCTGGCTGGCTGGATTGTCCGCTCGGGCTGCCTTACATACATGGCGGCGCAAGATGGCGACCTCTCTAAAGCAAGGCCCTTGCTATATATATATATATATATATATGTGTGTGTATAAAAGCATAATTATAAGGCTACGAAAACCAAACAAATTTTATTTTATAGTTATTATACACTTATATAAACATATTAATGGGTAGAATATTCAGATTCAGATTCAGATTGACAATAAACCATGCCAAATATTACACACTGGCCCTTTAATATTAATTGAGGAAAAAAGTGGTTGATCAGGAGGGATTCATGACAATTAATACTTAGTTTTCTTTGTGTAAAGAGATATGTACCTGTTCATCTATTTATCTGTCAACCCATCAATGGCATCTGTATCAGTCTGTTCAGGCATTCATTGGCTCTTGAGGGTTAAATATAGAGTATGGAGGGCAGTGGAACATAGAGAGCACTGTCAGCTCAGCATTTTCAACCCTTGTGAAAGTCACCAATAAACTTAACAGGAATCCAAAGCATAACTTGTCTAACAGGACTCACACATCACAAGACACATTCCTTATTTCAGAGAAACAGCTGTCATGCCGTCATGAATGTGTGAGGCTGATTCAAGGACTGAACCCTCTGAGGACCTCGGGACTGACCTCGAGAGCACACATGTCCTTTTTCCCGTACAAGTCGACTGTATAAAGCCACTCCCGGCCGGCTGTGCGGTCGTCACAAAGCTCAGGGAAGGGGGATGGGTGTCAGGACAATGGCTGATGCGCTCACAGAATGTACGGCCAGCCCATTTGTCTTCTTTCATAGTTCTCTACATCTTGCTCGCTCTGCCTTTCAATATGTCCACTTCTCTTCAACAGTCAGTTAAGCCAAATTACACAAAAAGCATAATTTCATACTTATTTCTAGATGCCATGCAAATAGTTTTGATTTTGAAAGATACAGGTGACATGTTCCTACATTACCCTATGGTGGTGCTGCAAATATTATCTAGCATACAAAATCTGCTTGTTTATGAAGATTTACACTTTCAATGTGAATGAACAGGCTTCTGGCTGACAGCCACAGACAGCTCAGAGAAGATGACAGTTATGGCCCTGCAGCAGCCCGAAGGCAAATTATACTCACGTTCCTTTCTGGTGAGGATGTAAATGCAGACATAAAACATTATGGGATTTGTCACTCTGAACAACCAAACATTAAAAGATACCAGCCACAAAAATGTTGTAGATAGCAAAAAGCTAATCTTCTAGGAAAAAGCAAAGGGTTGATATTTGATTTTTCAAAAGGTAAGTGACGACTGATTAATCATTGCACTCCTGATAACATTTTCGGACTGTCACGATGGAAAATTAAAAAACAGGATGCAGCAGAACTAGAGATATGATCTTTATCATTCCACACGTTCTTCATCTTTATCAAATCCTGGCACCTACATTACCCACAATGCAACTTGATTGTCAACACTGGTCAGAGATCCTGATGTGATATGCTAGTAGCAGCTAATGTAGCCTCAACTGTTAGCCTAAAGCAGAAGCAGAAATTAAAAAAACAAAACAAAGTGGATCATTCACACAAAACAATACTACAGCTGTATTATTAAATAACTGTTTGAATATGTAATACGCTGTAACTGGAATGTGTGTATATGTCTGAGTTCTTTATAATTTTTTAATCTGTATAATGTTGTATTTGTGTTGCTGTTTCCAGATTTGACATTAAACATTAAACAACATTAAAAAGAAGCTATTAGGACATTAGGTACTTGTACTTTGCTTGACTATTTTCAATTGTGCTGCTTTATACTTCTACGCCACCACATTTCAGAGACAAATATTGTACTTTTTTACTCGACTTCATTGACCTTTGAAACCTGAGCAAATTGGCTTGATTTTTTTAAACATGGGAAGAAGGCAATGAGTGACGAAAGAAGACATTATGCAGAAATTTAGCAAGAAATTAGTAATATATATATATATATATATATATATATATATATATATGTAATATCATTAGATATATTAGATTAGATAGATAGATAGATAAAATAATAATTAGAATACATAGTTTTCCTTTTCTTTTTTCTTTTTTCCCATTTTTCTTAAATCATTTTCTAAATCTTTTTCTAATTTTATCTTTTCTTACCAAGTTGGTCATTGCGTCTTTTCCCCACGTTTTTGAAAGACAATGCACCAATTACCTCAGAGTTCAAAGGTTTAACTTCAAAGCTTTAGTTACTTTGCAGATTCAGATTATGACTACAAAATATAAATTTTGATTTATACTGTGGATTAAGCTGCCCATCTGCATATAAAGTAATGAAAATGAGCTCTACCTTTACCAGCTACAACATTTAAGCTATATACACATAAATGTATTGATAATTTTAATCCAATAATACACATTATATATTCTACATAATGAGTACTTCTATTTTTTGATGCAAATACTTTTGTACTTTTACTTCAGTAAAATTTTGAGTTGAACCTTTACTCGTAACAGACAATTTTTACATTGTAGTATTGCTACTTTCTTCCATCAGTGAACATGAACACATTTTTGGTTTTGGTCACTTCATTATATTGGTTGACAATGCAAAAGACAGCTATTTCAAACTCTGTACAAATAATAGCAGAACCATCTATATAGACAGATACAACTGGAGATTTAATTTTTCTTATTGGGGTTTTTTTTGTAATTTGGGCAAACCAACCTCTAAAACCCCAGCTTACCCTTAGCATCTCTTCATACTCATCCTTTTCTCTTTACCTCTCACTCATACCTCCATCTCTCTTCCTTTACCCTCCATTACCTCTCCCTCCATCTTCTCTCCTCACTCATCTCTCAATCATCTCCATCCCTTCTCCCTCCTCCAGCTGACCCCCCTGCCCTGACCTACCCAAGCCGGTCAGCTGCAGCTGTGACCGGCGGTCAGGAGGTTAAGGCAAAGGTTGAGTGTCACACCCACAGGGTCACAGTGATGCCTGGCTGTTGTGTTAGCCTGTGAATGGAGGTTTCAGAGTGCCAGACGAGGTGGTGAGCCCCTGACGCCCTGACTCTTGCCTGAGCTTGCCCTTTCCCGAGCAGAGGTCACCTTAGAGGGGCCCGTCCTCTCCGCTCCCCCCATCCCTCCAGGTCACCATCGCTATTGTTGTAATAGCTGCCATTAGAGCAGATGATACAATTATCATTCCATTTTGTGTTCGCTCTCTAAAAAGTCTATGTTAAGCTTCTGAGTTCATCAAAGGTTTTTTAGACGACATGATTGTTGTAACCTCAGGGTGACTCTTTGTATCAAAGAGCCCACATTATGCCGAAATGTTCCCTGGAGAGAAAAAGGTATTTTTATTATGCTTGGTTCAAAAAAAGTAAAAATTCAACAATTCCTGCACTCAAAATCTTACTTAAATAAAAGCACAGTGGTATTACCAGCAAAATGTACTTAAATTATGAAAGCAAATGTACTCATTCTGCAAAAAATGGTCCTGGGTAGAGACTCATTAGTAATTACTACAATATAAGATTATTAATTCATGCTGGAGCTCAATTTGACCACTTTACAATTGTTAAGTAGTTTAATTTATACAAGTATATTGTATTTTGTAAGCTTATCATATGATGTTTTAATGTAAAATCCAAGTAAGCAAAGTCTCTATATATGTAAAATGGAGAAAAAAGTAACAACACATTTGCCACTAAAATGTGGAAGTACAAAGTAGCATTGCATGAAAATAGTGAAGTAACACTATAAACAAATAATGGTTCTAAACAGCACCCAAAAATGATTCTTTGCCTTGAAATAATAGGCGGACCTGTCTTGGTGCTATTTGGCACCCATTTTTTAAAGGTGCTATACAGCACCTTTGTCAAATAGAACCAACATATTTTTTTCAATTTTTGAGCCTGGGAGCCCTTAATGATGCCAGATAATACCATCTATGAGTCAATATGCTTCTTAATGACTCTTTTACTTAAAATATGAGTAATTATCAATAATTTCTTATGAAATATTGGTTAAAGATTCAGAATCCTGCACTAAACGCATGCAAAATGTTACCTTTTCAAACCTGGAATATTTCTGTGCATAGGGACAAAAACATTCTCCTTTAAT